GCACCTGGTCAGCCTTGCCGCTAGTGAAGGTTTCTGTGCAGCAAATGGTATCTTACTTGAGACCCAAAGGGTATTAGCTCAGCCAAGGGAGCTGCAAGAGGAATGACTCATGTATGCAAAAGCCCAAAGGCAAAAGAAACTGAAAAAAGTTGAGTGTGAAAAAAGCTTTAGCCTGGGCCTCCCCGGTGGCGCAGCGGTTGAGCGCTGGGTTGCGAAGCTGCCCGCAGCCTCTGCGGTGCAGGTTCGATCCCCGGCTGCTCCCAGTCCACCAGAGGAGGGTCCCACATGGCGCACAGACCTTTCCTGCCGCCCGCTGCTCCCCTCAGCAGTGTACTTCAGTCTTTCTGCCTTCTCTGCTCCCCGCTCTGGCTCTGGTGAATTCTCTCACCCTCCCGCGCTTCTGACTGTACCCAGTGCTTGTATAAATAAATAAATAAACAAGTAAATAAATAAATCTTTAAAAAAAAAAAAAAGCTTTAGCCTAAGGAGAAGAGCTTAGAGAAGAAAGTGGGTGCTAGTCCACGTGGCCTCTGCGTGTGAAGGGCTTTGACTATTAGCAATGGACAAGGGGAAGCTGGTGATACGAGTTTTAGAAAAATCACTTAGCAGCCTCCAGATGGTGGGTGGGTAGGAGGTAAGACTGAACTTGAGCAGAACCTTTTGCTCCTCCCCAGAGCTGCTCGTTCTGTGAACATGTCAGGATTTCCCTATTTCCAGAATTTATCCCTCTTGTTTTTTTGCACTGAGGTTGCCCTCATGTTGTGGCCAGGGATCCTTTTATGCTTAAGAAGAGAATGTACACCCAGAGCAGACACAAGAGTTTTGTTCTGCACCTTTAGCTGGAGGAATCTATGTGTGTGTGGGGGGCAGGGGGGAGTCAGTGAGACATCACCATCCGGATAACTTCATCTGACAAAGCCTGTGACCATTTTCCCACATGTAAGCATGGTGGCAAACACCTTCCTGAGACTCACTCTCTTCATTTGAAGAGCACAGACAATAAAATATACCTCCCTCAGATCTTTGTGGGGATCCTGTCAATGATACATGTAGGGCATGTCGGAGGTACCCAGTATAATTTTATTCCCTTCTCTTTTTTCTGCCTTCCTCTAATGCTACTCTCTCTCTGAGTAAAAGCCAGAAATCTTCTGGGCCTTCAAAAGCCTAATTCATTCTGACCCATTTCCCTACTGACCCCCTCTGTTCCATCCTGCTGCTCACACATCCTGGAGCTCAACACTGGTGTCCTTGAATGCTTCAGACATGCTCCCACCTCAGAGTACTGCAGTGCCCACATGACTTGTTTCCTCGTCTCTTCTAAGTTTTTGTGCAAATGTCATCCTCATGAGACCTACCCTAATGCTCGCTTTAAAACTCTAGCTCCCCCTCACCCCACCCCATAGCTCTTGTCCTTCCATTAAGTTACATAATTTAATTATATTGTTTTTTAATGTTATTACTATTTAGTTTGATCATTATCTCCTCCAACTAGCAATTAAACTTCACAAGGACAGGAAGTTTTATTTATTTATTTATTTATTTATTTATTTATACAAGCATTGGGTACAGTCAGAAGCGTGGGAGGGTGAGAGGATTCACCAGAGCCAGAGCGGGGAGAATAGGCAGACTGACGAAGTACACTGCTGAGGGGAGCAGCGGGCGGCAGGAGAGGTCTGCGCACCATGTGGGACCCTCGCCGGCAGCCGGGGATTGAACCGGCACTGCAGAGGCTGCGGGCAGCTTCGCAACCCAGCGCTCAACCACTGCGCCACCAGGGGAGGCCCAGGAAGTTTTTTTTTTTTTTTAATTTCTTTTTTTATTATTATTTGATCAGCTTTCATTTTGCAGATTTCTTTTTATTTACTTTTTTACCACCGCCATCTTTTTTTAAATATTTTATTTTATATAATTCTTACATCATTTTTCATTTTTGCACAATGAAGTTTCTTTTATTTATTTATTTTGAGGCAGCATTCATTTGTAACACCCAATAAGATTCAGAGGATAGGTTTACAACTCTTCAGATGTGTGTTACCAGACCACACCCACCACTCAGACACCCACAATCCTCCACCACAGTCCCTTGGGCTCCCTCCACACTTTGCTCCAAGAAGTTTTTTTCTGTCTTATTCATTACCATCTCTTCAGTGCTTAGAACTCAGAGCGCTCACTGGGTGTTTGTAGAATGAATGAATGACATGTTCAGTTCGCTGTCTGATCTCAGGGATGGTCTCATCTACAATATTGGGAGTCGGGCAAGCACCTGGTACTGAAGGGTCTCACTTGCTATCTGAGGACTCTTCTGCAATCTGACTGTGGAGAGAGTCCTGACTATCCAAGCAGGAGTCAAGGGTTCCAGCCTTGTACTCCTTTGTCTGTAAAATGAGAATGTTGCCCTTTGACTCAGTACCAGCCTATTTTTATGAAAATCTTTTAACTCTTAGAAGCTTCTGCACAGAGGTACTGGCTAGCTTGCAGTTCTACTGGAAGGTGTGGAAACCAACTCTTTCCTCTCTCCTTTTCACACCTTCTACTTGAAGGTGTGGAAAACCAACTTTTTCCATTACCACTGTTGGACAGCTTAGTTGTTTTTCTCCTTCTGTCTGCTTCTCATTGACCTTAAAGACCATCTCATACTGAACCATATGGGGTGTAATCCTCATCGGGCACATGGTCCCCTTAACGTGGCCAGCCTTTGAGATCTAAGGAAGCTACTGGGCATGAAAGAACTAGGAGATCTGTCCTCTGAGGTGGTGTATGTTTGAATACATTCATGTATTCAGTCCCTTATTTATTCACACACTGAAACTCATAGTCAAATGAAAGACTAGAGGCAGGCAAGTAATCATAGACGTGAACGTAGGTATATGGAAGAAAAAGTTTTTGTACTAGTCATGTTCCAGAAGTGTTGTACAACCTCAAACCTCAGTGGCTTCCAACAACAAATACCTGATTGTTGCTTCCGTATCTGTAGGTCAGCTTAGGTGGCCCTGCTTAAGGGGGGACAGGCTCTGGTCTGTCCTAGCATCTCTCTGTGTGGAACCCCAACTTGAAAAGGCATTGGGTGCCTGAAGCAGGCACTTTTTTTGGCACACGGCATGAGTCCAGGAATCCAAGCCACTCAAGCACATCCACAGCCTATGTCTGCATCACATTTGAACATCCCATTAGCCAAAGTAAGTCACAGGCCAAGCCCAACATCAGGAAGGCAGGGATGATACTCTGCTAACTCTAGTGGCAACGTGGGGGTATAGTTTTGTTGTTGGGCAATGAAGAGTTAGGAGTGATAAGCTAATCTACAGCATTTAACTCTGGCTGTGGAAGTAAGAAAAGGCCTCCTGGAGGTGGTAACTTTCATCTTGAAGGATAAGTAATTTATGAGACAAAAAAGAAGTTAGTAATGTATACAAGTGCATACACATTAAAAACAAAGGAAATATTGTCTATTGTCTTCATATTTATTTGTATTGTCACTGTGAGCTATGGAAGGAAAAAACAGGGGCCTCCCTGGTGGCACAAGGGGTTAAGACATAGCACTATGAAGCTGTCTGCAGTCACTGCAGCATGAGTTCGATCCCCAGCCAGCAAGGTGACCCACATGGCGCAGCAGACCTCTCCTGTCTCGCGCCCTGCTCCCCTCAGCAGTGTGTTTCAGTCAGTCTGCCTGTTCTGTTCCCCACTCTGTGTCTGGTGAATCCTCTCACCCCCCACATCTCTGACCTGTACCCCAGATCTTGTATGCATAAATAAATAAATCTTTAAAAAAAAGAGAAAGATAAAACCTCACCTATCCATGAAGTCCATACTTTATAGCAGAGATCAGGAAAAAAAAATAATGCAAAAGAAAAAAGGAAAATACATTACCAAGAACAAAAGTATGATTTCAGAAAGGAAGCTAGCATTTATTTTTAGCAGCTATTTTTGATGCAAGGTATGTGCTGTTTAATATTCATTATTTCATTCCTCACAAACTGTGAAGAATGTCCGAATGTTAAGGACAAATGACAAAACTGAGCCTCGGAGTGGTAGATAGCATGTCTGGCGGTTCAGATCAGCAGGTGCTAGTCCAAGGAGTACCTGCTGGTAGTTCTATTTGTGCAAAAGCAAATAATTCATAAAAATTACCACTAATGACTCACTGTGTTTTATTAAGCGGATCTGTTTGAAAATTCACTAAGCCCATGGATTTTAGTCTCTATTGTCTACGCGGTGCTGCTTTTGTTAAAGGGCCCCAGCCCTAGAGCAGATCATGTCTGGGGTGTTTTCCACATCTTACCTTCTCATGGCACATGGGTTTAAGATGCCACAAAGACAGTATGATTCTCACTCTTCTACTCCACAGTGTTCACTTTGGATGGAAGGGTGTTTTGAAATTCTGCTACTTCCTTTCTCTCAGTTTATATACTCCTACCAGTAAGCGTTTGTCCTTGGAAATTAAGGGAGACAAGCATGATGGGTTGTTCCAAGCCTCCAATAAAGGTTAGAGATGCGACTGTGTGAACGATAATAATCCCCACTATTTTCAAATAACTTCTACCTAATCCTCGCTCCCCTGTAACTGTGAACACATATACTCCAGTGGAACATTCCTGCTCATGAGGGAGGGAGCATTTGTGAGCTTTTATTTCTTGTTTTTAACGCATGATCACTTGATAGCGGGAATCCTATTTCTGGGCCCTTACTGACTTTTGCTGTGACTCTTTAACCCAGTATCAGTTCGAGTTTGCAGAGAAAGAGCCAGTTCTTGTAGATAACCATCCCTTCCCTCGGCGGATCGTTAGGCATTGGCAGGCTGTTTGTGTGCCCTCAGTCCTGGTGGCCTGGAAGAATTGCAGGATGGTTCACGACCCATTTGCCATTTGCTCAGGAAGCCAGCAGACCTGGATTGTCTGATCTCAGAGACCGTCTCACTTTGCAGTGCTTTAAATCTTGTAATAATGAGCAATGCTTATAGGAACTGCCTCTCGCTGTCTAATAGTTATTGTCTTATGCTTCCTCAGGTAGGTGGTCGTTTGATGCTGCTATCTGTCATGGACTTGATGATGAAGACGGAAGGAGAAGAAACTGTCTAGACTGGTCCAGAGAGAAACCTGGGCAGGAATGGTGCTGTAGGGACAAGCGACCTGCTTGGAAAGGGCTGCAGCATCCTTCTGAGAGCCTCTACTCCACACCGCCCCATAAAACTCTACTTCCTCACTGGAAAGGGCACCTAGGATTTTGCACTTGGCCACCTAACACCTCTGCTGTGCCAAAATAAGACGTTTGCTGCTGAGCTGAATGAGATATCACTCCATTTTGGTTTTGCAACTTTCAATCATCTGAACTTCACTTACAGTTGTTTTGCTTTAAGAACTTTAAGCCAGATTTGTACTGTTATTTTGTGTACACTTTTCAAAATGATCGACTTAAGCTTCCTGACAGAGGAGGAGCAAGAGGCCATCATGAAGGTTCTGCAGCGAGATGCGGTCCTGAAGAGGACAGAAGAAGAGAGAGTCAGGTAAGGCACCAGAGAAGATCTTGGCTTGGGGGATGGAGAGACAGTCTCTAAGGAGATGAAATGCTTTCTCTTTCTCAACTCTAAGTAGTAGTTCTGACTTGGAGCCTGAACTTGTGGCTTCTAATTTTAGGTTTCCTTCCTGGCTGGAACTCCTCCTTCATGTCTCTTAATTTATCCCATAGGCTCCTGCCAGAAATAGAGTCTTGATTAAAAACCTAACTAAATTCCTTAACTTATTATGCTCTGAGTTAAAAATAAAGTATATACAAACATGTATCTGCAGCTATATTCATGTGCAGCTATATGGATGTAGGTGTATATATATTTTTATCCACTTATTTTAACTGAATCATGAGCCAAATTAGGAACATTTTAAATTTCTATTTTTTTAGAAAAAAAATAAAATCGAGAAGTACCACACATTTCTGAATACTTTCAGAAATGTTTGAATTGGTCTCAGAAGCAATTTAAATGAACGCTGACCGAGCCAAGTTATTTTTTTGCATGTGTGTCCCACAAAAAGGAATGGCAACTTTGACACAGTATTCTCTTTGGAAGGACTCCAAGTGTTCCATGTCAAATTTCTGCCACTTTCACTCACCTGTGAGGTAGAAAGAGAACAAAGCAGGTTGCTGAAAAGTGGGTTTGAGTCTAGGTCCTGCCGCCTATTACTTGTGTAATCTTGAACTTTGAAAGGCTTCCTGTCTAACTGCATTCTAACTGCATGCTCCCCATCCTAGTTGTTATCTAAAAGGAGCATAAGCCAACTTCTTATTTCCTAGGATGCGGCATTTCCCTTATTTTTACCCTACTTGAACATGCATACATCATAAAAGAATATGTTAAAATTATTTGAAGTTCTCCAGATTATCTGATTATGGCTATTAATAATAACCTTGTAATTGGCAATGCTTCACAAATTGCAAAGGGCTTACCCACCCATTGCTGCTGAGCTCACGGCACTCATGTGGGCATGGGGGGATGGCATATAATCATGCCCACATGATGTGTGAGGACATTACTTTGAGACAGGTCAGGTGACTTGACTGAGCTCATAAAACCCATAGATACCAAAGTGAGAATCAGATCCTGGTCTTAGGCATTTAATTCGCTAACTCCACCTCTTTCCCTTGAGGAGACAATAGCATATGGACCATTTGGAGGCTGACACAGAGAGGGAAGTGACTGTCTTTTTTTAAAAAGATTTACTTATTTATTTATACAAGCACTGGGTACAGTCAGAAGTACGGGAGGGTGAGAGAATTCACCAGAGCCAGAGCGGGAGCAGAACAGACAGACTGACGAAACACACTGCTGAGGGGAGCAGCGGGTGGCAGGAGTGCTCTGTCGCATCATGCGGGACCCCCACCAGTGGCCAGGAATCGAATCAGCGCTGCAGAGGCTGCGGGCACCCTCACAGCCCAGTGCACAACCGCTGCACCACCAAGGGAGGCCCAGAAGTGACTGTCATGATGCGATGCAGGACACCGGGTAGTAATGGTGACAGGAAGTGGCTGCAGGTAGTGGCGATGAGAATGGGTTTCCATACTTGGCATGCTCCTCCCACAAGTCAGTCTGTGCAGCTGGCTGGACCACTGCTCCCTGTTCTCAGCAAGCAGGGTACCTTGAGCAGTTTCCCCAAGAAGGGCAGGGAATTTGCCTTTCTTGGCCATCAGGACCTCTTGGTAGCATTAACCCCTTACCTGCTCACAATGTAGAAAGCCCTGTCATTCACGTGGTCCGTTGATGCTTCTCACAACTCTGGGATTTGCCATGGCAGGACCATTAATGCCCATTTTAGAAACAAGGGGAGGGGGAAACACAGAACATATTGCTTTTTTTTTTTTTTTAAAAAAAGATTTATTTATTTATTTATACAAGCACTGGGTACAGTCAGAAGCGCGGGAGGGTGAGAGAATTCACCAGAGCCAGAGCGGGGAGCAGAGCAGGCAGACTGATGAAATACACTGCTGAGGGGAGCAGCGGGCGGCAGGAGAGGTCTGCGCACCATGTGGGACCCTTGCCCGGTGACCAGGGATCGAACCGGCGCTGCTGAGGCTGCGTGCAGCTTTGCAGCCCAGCGCTCAACCGCTGCGCCACCAGGGGAGGCCCAGAACATATTGCTTCTTAAAGGTAGTGGAAAATGGAAATTCCTTTAGCCTCTCACAAGGCAAGGTAGCGGGACTTAGAACGAAAGCAGGATGCTGGCATGGCATTGGTCCCTCCAGCCACCTCAGGTGAAGGTCTGTGAATATTGCAGAGCTATGAGTACCATTGAGTCTTCCACTTACATGGTGTTTTGTAAGGTTTGCAGTTCCACCTCCTCTATCTGACCAGGTTACAGAGGTATCTGTCCTCGCTCCTTCTACCTTTACTTCACTGGCAACTTCCGTGTAGTTTTGTGATTCTGTATGAGTGGAGAGACCTGCGGTAGCTGAAAATGCCAAAAATGCAAAGTTCTGCCTGGAACTAGACCTTGTAAAGGGTGTGAGTGTGAGCCTCTGGGGCCTGCCAGTCTACACCACAGCAGAAATACTGTGCACCCCTTCGTGGTGGCCAGCTTGGTGGCTCCTTCCACCTGCTGTTTCTGAGGTTGCCCCAGCTGCTGCTGTTGGCTCTGTACTTGGTTTTTACTTTTGTAAGTGAATAGGAATAAAGCATGGGAGGTGAGAAGTCTGGTGTGAATCCAGCCCTATCTACCACCACCATTCTGGGGAACTTGCTAGTAGACATCAAGCAGCTCTTACTGACTTGGGCACCGCAGGCCCCAGCCCCTGGGGCCACAGGGGAGTGATGGTGGACAAGGAGGGCAGTGTACCCCATGGCCTGTGAACACTGAAGGAGGCCCCACCGTGGCCTATTCACATAAGAGGAGTCGTGCTCTCTCCTCCTCTTTACTGCAGGACTGAAGGGACGGGATAGTTCTGACACTGTTCTGGACCGGGAGAGCCAGAACTACAGCAGGCCTCTGCTCTCTAAAAATGCTCTTCTGTGGACTTTTATTTTTTAGCCTTTTTTGTCATCTTCCAGCTGTTCCTCTTTGTTTCTCTTGTGACAGAGTCTGACAGCCTGGAAAAGAGATGTTTCTTTCGTATCAGTCCCTTTATAGATAAAGATAAGGCCCAGAGAAGGGCAGTGACTTGCCTGGAATCACAAGGCTAGTCATGACAAGAAAAATTCTTGATCCAGTGCTTTCCCATCTGCCTGCGCTGCTCACTGGTGCTCTGAGAAGAGTAGGGTTCTGTCGTGACATCAGGGAGCTTTTTAATGACCTACGTGAACCTTAGAGTCAAAACTGATATGAGCGTGAATGTGGTTCTCACCGTCGATCAGCTGTGGTTCGTGGGTAAGTGACTTAGTCTCCTGGGCCCCAACTAAGCCCCAGGAATGACCGTGATACTAAACTCAAAGGATTAAAGTCAGGATTAAATAAGGTAATTTTTAATCTTCTTAGTACATAATAGGTGATGACTACATTTTAATTCTCTTATTCAACATTCCACTTGTCTGTAAAAGGATGCGATCTCTGGTGAGTAGACTCATTCCTCAGGGGGAGGTTACTCCTGAAACCCAATTATTTCTGTGAAAAATTTAATTGAGCACCTAATAAGTATTCCTCTAAAGTGCACATCTCTGTGCAATGCTGTGAAGGGAAGTCTGGGGCAATTGAAACATGGTCCCAGGCCTCAAAGAAAGATAAAGCCCTTTTCATTTATTGGGTTATATTTTGCAAATTTAAATCTTCAACTTTGTTTCCCTCATGTAATTGTGCAATGCCGCAGTCCTCCTCAAAGCGGCATGTGGCTGTAGAAAAAATAAACTGTATAATTATATTAACTTAGGCACACTATAATATGGACTTAGGCCACAACTCTGAGATAAACATGAGGAGCTCACTAATGGATATAGCATTGTTGCCTACTAAGAACAAACACCACCCCAGAATCCTTTTCTGTATGATTATAGATATAATTTGGCATTCAAACCTAGATCTCCTTGCCGTTTGTGGTATTAGGGCTTGGATTTATCCATATCCAAGCTCATTTAAGACACTTTGGAGGGCCTTCCCGGTGGTGCAGCAGTTGAGCGCTGGGTTGCAAAGCTGCCCACAGCCTCTGCAGTGCCAGTTCGATCCCCAGCCACTGGGCGAGGGTCCCACATGGTGCGCAGACCTCTTCTGCCACACCCGCTGCTCCCCTCAGTAGTATACTTCGTCCATCTGCCTGTTCTGTTCCCCGCTCTGGCTCTTGTGAATTCTCTCACCCTCCCATACTTCTGACTGTACCCAGTGCTTGTATAAATAAATTAATTAATCTTTTAAAAAAAAAAAAGACACTTTGGAGATGGTTTATCTATAGGTTACTATTGGACCAGGGCTGCAAGCCCAGCAAGTTACTTCCTGGATGCCAGCAAACAGGAGAAGAGGCAGGGAGCCCTGGGCAGGTCTAACAACATCTTTATTGCAGCAGCAGGAAACAACACACACAGATGGCAGCAGCCAGGAAGCGTGGGCTCCGTGGGGAGACGCCTCCTGTCTTTTTATACTGTTCAAGGACAAAGCTGGCTCAGGGCCAGATTTATGCTTAGGTTACAGAAGTATATTTTCACACATGTAAACTATGCATCAAGTTTGCATGTATTTACTAACTTCCATGCATGGAGACTACATATCAAGATTACATGTCATGATGAAACATCAAGGTTGCATGCTGTCTGCTAAGCCACCTGAGTCTGGAGGCCACAGTGAAAACAGCCTGAGAAGCTCTGTTTTGTTACTAGTCCTATAATTACCTTCCGTTCTGATTTCACGGATGAGAAAAATAAGTGTCACACCAGGGAAGTGTCCAGTTCTCAAATCACCCAAACTATTAATGGTATAGGTTGGATTTGAACACAAGGGAATAGCCACTGGTGTTGTCTGGGGTAGGTTAGAGGATAACAGTCCTAGGTCACTATTGCCCCTGCAGCTCTCTCATGTTGGGCCTGGTTATTACCAAGCACACCAGCTTGTCTCTCTACCTACCAGCTGGACACAGTCACCATCTTGTGCAACATGCATCAAGATGGGTTCTTTTTCTATCTCACCTTCTCTCTTTTAAAGCAACACCACTATAGATACAGATGCATAATTTTAGTCTTTTATGGTTTGAAAATTACACAGTCTAGAGATGGTGTTTCCTGTGCTTTGCATCACACTGGCCGCAGAAAATTGTTGCCCATGTGCATCTGTATACCACCTGTACCCCCACACCCACACCCCCCCACAGCACTGGGCATCCACATAGTAGATACCATCTCAACCACAACCACATCTTATGATTCTCAGCTGCTTCCCTAAGGCCTAATTTCTTTTAGATGGAGGCAGTTGTCATTGAAGAACTGCTTTCCAGGACTGGTGGTGGTGTTTTTTGCCAAAGCAAAGGGGAAAGACACCAACCTTTGTTCAGGGAACTAAATTGTACACGGAGCTTTATGCTTATTTACCCCTTTTATCCACAAAAGAGCAGCTGCACCCATTGAACAATGCAGTAGTGGGGTGAAGAGGTTTGTGCCCTGCAGTTTTGAAGCCTCACTTATCAACCAGCCAAAGCTGCGCCTCCCCACGCTGTACTGATGTGGGGATCATGATGTAGTCACACAAGGGCGGCACCTTTCCTCTCGTTTTCCACCTTGTAAGAAAAGTGTGCAATTTAGTTCATTTTCCCATGTGTTGGTTTTCAGATTTTCTGTCAAATATTGAATTCCTCTGTGAAGTGTGATTACCATCTTAGGAACCAGAGTCCTGTGTGGCTGAGACCAGGAGTCAGGCTGGTTTCCTGTCTTGAGCTCAGGCAAACCTCTTAACTTCTCTGAGGCTCAATTGTTTCATCTATAAAGTGAGACCGTTTGTCATTTTTCTTTTCATCTTTGCACAATGTATGCATTTTCATTTTGGTTATATTCCCCATACAATTGCACCCCCCTTATTTTGACCCTAGTCCTTCCTTTCCCCACCCCTCCTCCCCCCTCCCCCGTAGTGTGTTTCTGGTTTATAGTTGCTTGTTGATTTTGATTTTTACTTTATTATAATTAGTCTTTTTCCTGGTCCCTTATTTGGGTTTTCTAAATTCCTGCTATGAGTGAGACCATCCGGTATTTTTCTTTTTCTTTCTGGCTTATTTCGCTGAGCATGATCCCTTCTAGCTCCATCCATGTTGCTGCAAACTGCATGAGTTTATCTTTTTAAGGGCCCTTCCAGCACATTCAAAACAAACATCTAAGCATACTTTCAAATCACATAGTTTAACCATCTTGCCCAGAATATACTGAGAGGTTAAAAAGAGAGAAAAAAATGTCGGGGATTGAACCAATCAACTCTCTGGCCAGTCTGCTGATCTCCTTATCCACAGTGGACTAGATAGTATCAGCTCGGCACTGCCTGTGATATTAGGACTTTGGCTAATCAGGATGAACAGCTGTGAGCTGGGGCACAAGGGGGTTAGGGAGTTTGCGGGAAGAAAAGTGTGGAAGCCAGGATGGAGGGTATCACTGCTCTCTGGCTTTCTCCCTATTCACACTCTGCACCACAGGAGTTGACAGTGGCAGTTAGGGCTGTGGATATAATTATTTTATGCACAATTTCAAACCTATGCCTGATAGATGACAGGGGGTTAATGAATTAGTGAATGACCAAATGAGCAGATGAGACCTTTAACATGTAGAGAAGGCAAGACAGCTATCTTTTGCTTTGTACATCTTGATGAAACTGTAAAGATTCAATGAGGGAATGCATGTGTAAAACGTGGTGTCTGAGGCAGAACGATGCTTTTTATGTGTTAGCCAAAGGAATGGGGAATGACTGTTGTGTGTGCCTGGAGGGCTGCAGGACAGTGGCTTCTCTGGGCTAAGTGCTCTCCTGCCTTCCTGCTGCCCTCCAGCTCTTGGGTGTTTACTGAGCATCTCCTCTGTCCTTAGCATTAAGGTGTGATTAAGATGTGCTGTCTTCTAAGCACATTGCACAGAATAGAGAAGATGGCGAGGGATAAAATGTGTGAATCCCTAGACAATCTCCCTCTTCCTACTTTAACTAAATGTCATAGCAATTAGAGAATTAATTGCTAATTTGATTGGAATGATTAGAGTTGAGGATGAGAGATCAACATGGGCTGATAGAAATTTTAACATCTCATAGGTGGTAGAATTTTTTTTTAATGGTCTTCATTTTTACAAAACTTGTGTTTTCATGTTACACATATATGAATTCATTTGTAAAATATTCCAAATGACTATGATAGAAAAAAATTGATGAAGCTTAGCAGTGATTATTACAGTGGGAAATGCATAAATGACACTTAATGGATTTGAAATCATTTCTTTTTCTTTTCCCACTTTAAAAGAAATGAGCCAGAAACCCAACTTTATGATGTACTCTAATGGCTCCCAGCCTTCCCAGAGGTCATGTGCTCCAGTGAACTGGTCTCACAGCCTGTGCTTGTGGTAAATTGAAAGTGTGAACAGAGGCTTGTGGACAGTCATTTAGGCAGAAACAGATCAAGAATTGCACAAAAACCATTACAAAATGTGCTTCAGTTGAACAACAAAAATAAGTAAATAAATAATCTCTTGAAGAGATATCAAGAATTCTTATGCCATGAGGATTTGTGGTCTTTTTCAAAAAGATGACTAGTTGATCTTGTTTTTACTAGTCTGCCTCTCAGGAGAAGGCACAGGCACTGGGATGGAGTGTAACTCACTTCACCCCAACAGTGACGGGATATCTCTTATCTCTTTACTGACTCAGACTGCATGATGGCTGAGCATTTCTTTGTTCATTGATTTATTCATTCAACAAACAGTTTTTGAGTATCAGCTCTGTGCCAGGCTCTGTGCTAGGTGCTGATATTACAAAGGTGATTAAGATATAATTCTCACCTTGAAGGAGTTTGCAGAGTTCACAGATCAGTGGGTAAGACAGATATGCAGATAGAGTATTGAAAAGTGGTGGGGCAAGGGTTATCATGGAGCTGCTGCCTGCAGCACGGAGCAGAGCAAGCTAAACTGTGCCCCGGGAGTCGGGATGGGCTGTCCTGGTGAGGGGATGCATTCACTGGACCTGAAGGGTGAGGAACAACATGGTATACAGAGAAATGAGGGAAAGCTGTCCTAAGGGACTTCAGATTCCTTGGCTTCTTACCAGGATTCAGATACTATTAGGTACTTTCAGGCAAACACCTCATTGAGTCATCCCAAAAGACCTGCAGAGTTGATCTTATTTCCCCATTTTTACAAACAAGGAGACTGGGTTTAGAAATGTTCGTAACCTGCCCACTGTCACTTCTAGAAAATGCCAGACAGGGATAAGGACCTAATTTAGGGAGACTCCAAAGCCCGGTCTCTGTTTCTAATGTTTACAGAGTTCATGAAAGAGCAATTTGGAGAACAGTAACAAGTCTAGTGTGTCGGCAGGTGGGGGCCAGAGGGTAAGTGCAGGAAAATGAATCCGAAAAGGTGACCTGAAGTCAGGCATCATGGGGCTTCATAGGATACTCCTTCATTCCACAAGTATTGGATCAATTCCAGACCAGAGAGGAAGATGTACAGAGCACAGGCCCTGCCCCGTAAGGCCCATTCTCTAATCTGGGAGAACTGGAAAGACTTCTTTCTTCTGGATTTCACCTCCGACTTGATCCTTTTGGGAAAAGAAAGGCAAAAGCTCCACCAGCAACCCAAGGGGACTGTTTGCCCTGGTTAAACCTTAGGCAAAGGGAGAGCATATGAAATGTTTAATAAGGAACCATGACTCCTCTGATGACTCAGAGCCTTGAGGTGCTGAGACTGTCCCTGACAGGTTTGGTGATGGGCTGTCATTACAGTGTCCAAAGGCTGTGACCAGCCATGTTTGGGAATGGGTCAGTGCTTCCTGGTACCTGGGAGAGGAGGAAAAGTCCCACGGGAGAGCTGGCCTCTGGGTAGAACGATGCCCTTCAGGCACCACTCTTATCTCCTCTGTCCTGAGTCTGCTTGTGTGCAGCCTTACATACTCTCTGGTTAAAATACCTCGATTGGCTACTTTAGAAATCATGCGCACTGGCTTGAATGACCTTCATAAAACTCTCTTGGATTATTGTAGCATGCTATCATCTGAGAGTTCAAAGTGTCCTTAAGGGCTTTTATTCTCTGTAAGAGAAGATAGATTTCGTGATTCTCATGCTATTGAGATGTATTTTTTTCCAGCCAGGGTAAATTAGGGAGGTTTTCAGAGGGCGGCACTTGGTTTATTCTCTAGGTTTAAGTTTCTCGGTGAGCACGAATGATTGTGGAACCCTTAAAACATGATCTGCAGAAATGGGATTTGCTTCTGCTTCTGTTCCCTACCCACCATACATTTGATCTCCTCTAACTCCAGCCTGCCTTTCAGGGTACTCATTTGCCTAATATTAAGCACGAGGGACATCTTGCTTTCTCTCTAACTGGTTACTAAGTCTCTAATAAGCTATTTTCACTGAAATAGTAAGACCTGTTAATTAATTACTCCCCCAGGTTGTCACTGCGTGCTTATGAGGTGCCGGACATGTGCAGAGGGCAGTTTACCTGCAGTACCTTATTTAATCTTCATCACCTCTCCATGAGGTGGGGTATTAGTATTACCCCTCTTCCAGATTAGGAAGCCAAAGCTTACAGAGGCTTCACATGTCATCTCTGCGTGGGATATTTACATTTGGACAGTAGATACAGAAGACTTCAGCCAAAAAGTCAGTCTGCTTTTGAGACATTTTAGGCATCATCTGGAGATTGTGGCTTAAATCTTTGAATTTTCAAAAAATGTTGGTCTTGGTTTCTCTGGCTTTAGTCAAAGCAGAACATATACATGTTAGTTATTGTGGGATCTTCTAAAGCAGCTTCATTTTGGCAGTTTGTTTATAAATTTCTCTATGCAGTTTCACAGTGAACTCATTTATTTACTGTGGTGCTCAGCAAAGTGACGCTCTTTTCCTTTTGTAGACATTTGCCTGAAAAAATTAAGGATGACCAGCAGTTGAAGAATATGAGTGGCCAGTGGTTTTATGAAGCCAAGGCAAAAAGGCACAGAGACAAGATCCACGGGGCAGATATCATCAGGGCATCCATGAGAAAGAAGAGATTACAGGCAGCAGGTGAGTTATTGATTAGTGTGTGGAGTCGACATGTACTTGGGAGAAGGAATCAGGGCAAGGCAGGGTGTTAGAATTGTTGAAGTGAGAGGGAAATCAGTAGAAGGTATGCTTTGCATAATGCGTGCTATTCCTCCAGCTCAAAATCTTAATCTGGATTCACGCTGATGACAGTGGGGGAAGTGACTCAGTGCCACAGGGGGACATAGGAGGTTCTTTATTTTATTTTTTTTTGAAAAGATTTTTTTTTAATATTTTATTCTTTCTTTTTTTTTTTTTTAAGATTTATTTATTTATACAAGCACTGGGTACAGTCAGAAGCACGGGAGGGTGAGAGAATTCACCAGAGCCAGAGCGGGGAGCAGAGCAGGCAGAAGGACTGAAGTACACTGCTGAGGGGAGCAGCGGGCGGCAGGAGAGGTCTGCGAGGTCTGCGCGCCATGTGGGACCCTCCTCCGGTGGCCGGGGAGCAGCCAGGGATCGAACCGGCGCCACAGAGGCCGCGGGCAGCTTCGCAACCCAGCGCTCAACTGCTGCGCCACCGGGGAGGCCCAAGGAGGTTCTTTAGATGCCAGGTTGCATTGTAGTAGATTAAACCATGGGGGTTTCTAAGGGATCTGCCACTTTGTATTTCTTCTGCTCTTTGAAGATTCAGAATCTCCCGAGTAGATCTTTGAAGATTCAGAATCTCCGGAGTAGAATGAAGAGCTTTGACAGAAAGAGATTAGTCTCCTGTTCAGTGACCTTTAACATCTGTTACTTCTTTACATCAGGACTGTAAACAGTGTTTTGAGGGCTTCTTTAGAATTCTTTTGAGTTCATTAAACATTTATAGGATAGCTTCTCTCTAATAACTCTTGATTAGTCATAAGCATTTACCCCAGAGGGCAGCCCCAAGCTAGCGCTAGCCTGTAATCAATAAGGCAAATACCTATCACCATTTGAGCATCTAATATGTAATAGGCATTTACTATCTATTATTTATAATTATACCTTCAAACTTATAAAGTGATAAGATTATAGAGTGATATTGTTATCACTTATAGAATCTTATAGAGTGATATTATTATTCCATTCTATGTATGGGGTATATAAAGTTCAGAGAAGTAAAATAACTTGTCCAAAGTCATAGTGGGCACATGGAAGAGCTGGAATTTCAGTCTTTCTGATTCAGAGCCACACTCATTGCAGATATCAGCTGACTGCTTAGTAGTGCCATGCGCTGCTTGTGGTCCTCTTGACTTTCAAAACCATCCAGACCCTCATAAATGTTAAAGGATACAAGCTAGCACTGTGGACTTCTTTTGCAGTTGAAGAAATTAGACTTATTGTAAAGAGAGCTGTGGGGAACACTACCCAGGAATGTGTGTTTTTAGAAATTAGGAGCCCTTAAATATTGCTTCACCTTCTTACCAGGGATGAAAGTATTCCTGGCTTTTACTGGCTATATAGCCTCAGGCAAGTTTCTTAAATTCTTTGATCCTCAATTTCCAAATCTGTAAACTTGGAAAATAGTCCCTCCCCATAAGACAATGCATGCAAAAATCTCAGCATTGTGCCTGCCACTTAGTTATCACTTAGTTGATGCCAGTTTTCTAAGAGGTGCAGGTAAAGAGACCTGGGTGTTCAGAGACAAAATGGGCTATTTCCTGAAGAGGGAGTACACAGGGGCCCTGGTGCCTAAGCTGGGTGTTGACTCTAGAATTTCAGTTAAAGTGCACAGATTGGGGTGAGGAGGAGGCAGTAAAGAGGGATACTCTAGAACAGAAGCATTTGTTTTCCTTTCTTTGTATCTCAGAGCCCGGACCTGAGTTGAACACATTGTTGATATTTAGTAAATGCTTAGTAATGATGACGCTTCTGTTCCAATGAGCTCTACTGGCCCTGAGCATTCCCTGGCCACACACATTTGATCCTGAATCCCACTTAAGTCCGATTTACCTGCACTTTTAAAGGTACACACAGGTACTCAGGAGACTCTGCCTGGGTGGGAGTCTACTGATTTCTCTTACAAATGTAATTCTGATCCTGAGTATTCAGACTCATTAGAAATTGCCTTGGCACTCAGGAAGGCCTGAACTTCAAGTTTGAACAATCTGTGATAAGGAACAATGTGAGAGTTGTAGTTCATGGAGTTAAGAGATAACCTTCCTATCTTCATTGTTTCCTGTTTCAGCTGAGCAGAACAAGGACAGAGATAATGGGACAAAGGAAAGCTGGGTGAATAATATCAACAAAGATGGTTTCCTTCCCCCGGAGCTAGCTAGTACTGTGGAAGACCCAGAGGAGGATGTGGCACTGGCAAGCCCAAGGTAAGCCAGAGCTCATGGGGAGCACTGCAGCCTTTGGGGTCCACTGCTTGGTGTATGTGGACTGAGTGCAGGTTCCAGGCTGGGCTCATGGACATGGGGAAGGAGCAATGCATGGGAGAAGTCTGGGTCCTGATGTAGACAAAGTTGTAGTATGACTCTTTGCTAGCTTCTAGAATTTCTAACATTTGAATATTAGATAAAATTAAAACACTAAGTGATTTTTTAAATCTACCAATGATAGCTATTATTTATTTATACTAAGGATTTCTCCTTAGAGTAGAATGTTGAGGTACTCCAATGTGAATATCATCATTTCACAGAAGAGATGACTTATGATTAAATTGTAGCGGCCTTGTAGAATGAAAGAAACCCAAGCCTGGAATTAGACACATGAATTCAACACTTGGATATGCCTTTAGCCCTTTGAATGTGGGGAACTCGTGCAACCTCTTTGAATCTATTGTCTTAGCTGCAGATGAGAATTGCAATAAAATCTGGGAGAGGCTAAGGTGAGAATTAGTGATACTGGCTGTAGACTATCTGACACATAGTAGGTACTAAGAAAAAGATTCGTTAAGATGCAGATTGACCTTAATATTTGTCTTGATTTTTGGTGCTTTCCATACATGTTATTATCTAGCCAATCAAAATGTCCATTTGTACACTCTTCCTAAGGAGTAACTGATTATGGGGCTACACTGATATAAACCTTCTGAGTCATGATGATTTCCTTTTAGGTAGTTAAGGGTCTTCCCATTGATATCCATCCCATAGAGAAATGGTGTTACCCTTTGTTGGGAAGGCAATTGCATTTTACCTCTGGCTCCTCCATGAAGACAATTCAATTTTTTTTCCAGCTAGTTGATGCATTTGCTGATGGTATAGCCATTGAGTCAGAGGCTAGTGCTGAGGCACCTGGGGAATAGTGATATTTCAACATAGTTTATAAATGAGGAAGACGGTTTATACTATAGGCACTAATAGACATTTTAGAGCTAACTATGAGTAAAGTTATGCCACATAGATAATGGAATGCTGATTTCTATTAAGGTGCCGTTCTTCATACATTTCCCTGTTGGAGAGCACTTGCTTTGTTTCCTGTGCATGGTAAATTGTACCATTTCCATTCTGGAATGATTTATGACCTTCTGTTATGTCTGTGGAGACCATGTTGGCTAGAGGTTAAAGCAAGTGTAATCACACACTGATTCTGTGACCTTGCATTAGAAGTGACTTAACTCTTTGGGCCTTTGTTTCCTCAGCTGTAAAGTGGGAGTGATAATAGTTCACTAGCAAGATGATTGAAAGTTTAATTTACTGGTGAATGTAGAATTCTTAACACAGACAAAACCACATAACAGGTGCTCAATAAATGGAAAGATGGGCGCTTGTTATCTCTCTCTCTCTCTCTCTCTCTCTCTCTCTCTCTCTCTCTCTCTATCACACACACACACACAGACACATGTCAAGAAACTCAGGAAAGGATGTGTGGAATACCCAACCCCACTTCCTTTGGTGAACCCCCATTTACCTGCCGCGTGCGATCCCCTTACTTGGATGAAAGCATAATTATACCATGGCGGGGAGTATAGCTGACAAGGTAGGAATAAAGGTGTTCATTGTATCCAGCATGCTTGGCTCATTATTGGCATGCATGGCAATCATCCAGAACTTGGAGGGAGCTATGTTCACTTCCTCATTTCCATGCGGAAATGACTGCTTTGCCCTGTATCAGCTTCCTGCCGGTTTCTCACCTCTACTTTAACCTTTGAGAAAGGGGTGTGTGCGTGTATGCTTGGGCCTGTGCTTTCAGAGTAAGTGAGCTTCAGTAGCATGACTCAATGTCAATATTTTCTTAACCAGGAGGCAGATTATGAGGCAACAGTGACTGGATATTGCTGTTTCTGAGGGAGCTTTTCTGCTAAGCTCTGTGATCATCTTCCTTCTTTCTGTTGTGGACACAGCTTTGTGGGGCTGTTCCTGTAGAGAGTTGAAACACTGTGAGTTCCCAGCATATATGCAGGCATTGGGATCTATCTGTGTTCTTTTGGAATGCACCTTTGCACCTGGAGCATGAAGAAGCAGAGAGAGGTTTGATGAACAGAGGAGCAGAGACCAAGGGTCCCGCTACAGCAGTTAAAGGGAAAACTCCCAGCTGCTCACAGTTCTTTTTACTGCCATTCAGGAGGACAGTGTTGGCACAAACTACGGTAATGAACAAGTGGTTCATTTCATTATAATCATAATTATAATTAATTATAATCATCATGGATTGGTACTTTTTATAAAATATATATTAAAAATAGATAAAGTATAATAAAAAATATATTTTTAAAATGAGGAAAACACCAAAGACATGTAAAAGGTAAGCCCACAGGTCATGTGCTGGGAAGTCCCAGCAAGTTGGTATAAATGATTCTAAACACTTACTCAAGTTATATACTTATCTCATTGTGAACCAGTAGTAAACAGTTCACGAACTAGCACTGGTCTACCAACCACAATTGCTAGCCCATCGTGATCCCCCACAAAATTATAGTGGATCATGTGCATGTACACAATAATCCACAGGACATGGCTTAGCCAAGGTGGAGAGTACATAATGAAGATGTGAAACTTCCCATGTGGGTTAGGTACCCAGGACTGGGGTAACGTGTTATGAGCATAAGGGAGGCCTGTGCTGGGATGAGAAGCCCCTCCTTTGTTAGATGATGAGCTTCGTGAAACAGGTTTGGTTGCTCCAGGCAACACTGAGAGTCTAGAAGCCTCTCTGCTAACCAGGGCCTTATATGTCCCTGCTATTGGTTTTTCCTTGGTCTGAAGAAGCCTACATTTGGGCAGACCTTTTAGTTTCTCTTTCTCTATTCTCTTCTTTTAATAGTGCTTCTTGAGGGCTGGTTTTCCTACTCCTGGTATTGTCTTGGCTCTGTGGCTGTCTCAGGTCTCTAAAAATATGATTGTTTTCAAGTGTATTCCAAGCTTCTCCTCCTTTTTCCTTCCTAGTGGCTCCTCCCACACTCCCCCATCCCACATCTTTCATTTGACCGATAGCCTCCTTTCTCCTTTGAAGGGAACTGACTGGCATTCTACCCCAAGAAATATTTGACTTTTCACAACACACCTGTGTGGATGGAAGTTTTTAACTCTTTTCCTTTCTTAATAGTCACCTTACTGAAGTGAGTCTGAAACGTTTGTGTCACCCTACCATATAGTCCAAGTAGTCCTTAGCATCTGATATTTTGCACTTGTGAGTATATTACAGTGAAACAGATCAGAGGTCTGTCATATTCCTGGCCTCATACTAATTCCTGATGATTTCTAAAAGATTAAAGAATTACCCTTACAATGCATCCTTAGAATGCAGAGCCATCAACCAAATGAAACAAGCTCTTAGTGCAAGGAGGGTTATTTTAGAGGTAATAAACATCTCAGTGCCCTGACATCACAGTAAGAAGGTGGTAGCCTTCTCTGACTGTCTATAAATCAGCCCCAGTAATAGATATCATTGGTCAGAGGTCAGTGACTACTTTTGCAGAAGTAGCAGGGGATATTATAATCCAGCTTGGAGCCTAGAAGAATAGCAGTTTAACAGTGAGATATGAATATAAAAAAAAGTGGCAAGAATGAAATTATTAATCCAGGGCCTCCCTGGTGGCCTAGGAGTTAAGTCTTAGCACTATAACCATGATGGCCTGAGTTCGATCCTCAGCCAGGGAGCCAACCTGCTTGGCACAGCAGACCTCTCCTGTCTCTCCCATTGGTCCCCTTAGCAGTGTATTTCAGTAGATCCACTTGTTCTGCTCCCTACTTTATCTCTGGTGAATCCTCTCACCTCCCGCACCTCTGGCCTATACCCCAGTTCTTCTTGCAATAAACAAATCTTTAAAAAAAAGAAATTATTAATCCATAAATTGGCTAGATTTATTTTCAATATATTTATTGAAAATAAAGTGTTTAAATGCCATTGTTTGCAATTTATTGAAAACACTGACTTCATGTTAGCACCCATTAGAAAAATCTGTTTGTTGGGCTGCTAATGCATTCTTCATTCAGTCAGCAGTTATTGAGTACGTATTGTATACACGATGGTGGCAAGGAAATCAAGATGAAGAAGAGATGCTTCCTGTCCTCGAGGAATTCATTGTTTGGAGCAGGGACTGACATGTGTAACCATAAATAGTGATACAGTGTGATAAGTGTACTTTGGGAGCACCAAAATAGCACACTGACCGAGTCCAGAGTGCTTGGGAAGGGTTTCAGGGAAGCATCTAGACATGAGTCATGGTTGATATAGTTCTTAAAGGATTATGTTAGCTAGACGTGGGGAGAGGACAGTCCAGGCAGAGGGGCCTGATAGGGCCTAAACCTACAAACGGTTTAGTTTGGCAGATGTGAGTGGTAGGCAGTGCTGTTGAAATAAAGACTGGGACCAGGCTGTGAAGAGCCCTGGATGTTGGGCAGAAGGCTGAACTTTTCCTTCTAAGTCACAAGGAGTCGCCAAATGACCTTTTGTGTAAGTTTACTTTTTGGAGTGATCATTCTGATGACTGTGTGGAGGGTGAGGTCAGACAGTTCAATTAGGACATTATAGCAAAAGTTTAGGTGAGGGAGAGTGAGGACCTAGTCAAGGAAATAGAGGAAAAAGGAAGCATGACAGTTTAGATATAAGATTAGAGGAAATGTGAGGTACTTACAGTACACGTGAGATATCTAAAAATCGGTGTAGGATGTGTAGCATTCTTGAACTGTGACCTACATATCACAAGTTCCCAAGGAACTTGTAAAAATCCACACTTCTAGGGCTGAGCATCATTACATTGCTTTCTCGGGGTTGAAGACCCGAGTCCTGTTTATCACCTTGTCCCCAGTCTAACAATATATGTGGCACATGGTGCACATAGCAGTCAGCAGCTAGGGAGTAGATGTCTGTATCCTCTCTTATTGACCTCCATCACTTGGCACTGCCTGACATAATATTACAATTTTTTACTCTCCCTCCCCCCCAGATCCATGAGGAAGAGTTCTTTCTGTTTACTGCTAGTTTTTGCCTCATTCACTACCCCATTCTGAATAGTGCCCAGGAAATGTCTTATGAAATGAATGAGTGAATCTACATGGAGAGTGGGAGAGTGACCAGCTCTGTGAGAGTGTTTAATGAGATAATGAAATATAAAATAAAAAATGGTTAATAAGGGGTTAATGAATAAGCAAATGAGTGAATAAATGAATGAGTGAATGAATTAACTTGGGCCCCCCGAGAGAGGAGAAAAAGAGGAGGAGAAAAAAGTGAAAACACAAGGAGCAAACAGCATTGATAGCAACAAGATCCTTTGACTTTGTGCTTCGAAGCATCACCATGGTTTCTGGTGACCATAAATGTTGAGGGGCATTCTCAAATTTGGACAACTGTGAAAGGAACATTCAAGATTAGAAACTGGAAGGTAGCTGGATGGGTGGGAGCTTGACTACTTCAGAGGTTTGTGATGTTCATGAACCAAAAGCATCCTTGACTGTCTCCAAAATGAGTTCAGGGAAGGCAGAATAAAGACTTTCCTGTGGTAATTCTTTCCAGGTTTTTGGTAGGTTTCCTCTGGGCACTTCCCTGTGACATGGTGAGAAAACAATGAGTTTTCTTACAAGCAAAACTATGCCTCCTCACCTCACTTTATTTTTTGTTGAATTAAATAAATTTCATAAACCATTTCATAAATCGTCATAATGAGCAAAAAATGCTCATCTTCAGGCTTTATTGCCTGTGATTCAGTGACACTCAGTCTGACCCCAGCTTCCTTTTCTCAGTCAATTAAATCCCAGTCTTTAGCCCTGGAATACTTTTTCTCTAGTGTTATTTTTTTCCTTGAAGGCTTCCGTTTGTATATATCTCCCTCTCGCAGAAAGACTGGCTTGGCTACTTGCCAGTTTGTCTAGCAGTAAAAGCAGTATGAGGCACCTACATCACTTCCAAAGGCAGGGCAGAGAGGGACTAATCTATGGTCCAATATATTTGATCTTTAGTCCTGGGATTGTAAATCCATTCCTTGGAGACCTGCCACATAGAATCACTTACATCGAGCTCTCAAAAGAATCCTTCTTAATCCTATAGGAGCTTAGATTTGCCCAAATCTGTTGTGGTGAGAAGTTCCAGTGTGACATCAGAATGCCTTGGACTTGCATGGTGATGCTTGTGTTAGCTAATCCTGTGGCATAAAGTGTGATAGCTCTAGAGAACTGTGTGTGCCCGAAGTAGTATTTCACTTAAAAATACTAACTTGAAAGTCTTACAGCATCAATACTGACGTGCCCCCCTCACTATCCCTGAGCCATTTCTCCATGTGTGTGTTCGTGGCTTTAAGCGTCACTGAGTATGATGTGTGCAAGGGCAGTACTGGGCACTGGGGTGGGAAACAACATTAGCTTCCAGGGAATTCACAGTCCAAAGGGAGAGATCAGCAACAACAACACATGAAAAAATTCCCTTGCAGAATTTGCTTTTGGTTCTAATACTGTTCCCTTTTAAGCTGAAAAATACCTCAAAAGAAGGTATAGGATATCTGTTGCTATTTTTAACTGTTTTAGAGAGAAAGGCTGGTTGAGGTTCAAAAGCTTTTTGGAGTTGCTGCATGTGCTCCCGAGCACTTTATGAACATAGAAGCAGGTGCAGTGTGTGGCTGCTGCTGTGTGCTGTAATTTTAAGACTTGCTTTTCCCCAAGTGTCCCTGCCAAAGTATCTAACATTCTTCTTCATCACTAAGGCTTCAATGGCTTGTGTTAAAAATACAGACATTTTTAGGAGGGAACCCCCACTCCCAGTATTATAACTTAAATTTTGATAATCTGCTTAACAAAGTAAACATATTTTGTCGAGTGTTGCTTCTAGTATTGTAGGTAGTTTTAAAAGGTGCCTGAGGCAAGAAATTATAGGTCACAGGATGCAGAATTTGACTTGCTGTATAGTTTATTTTTAAAGATATATTTTTATTTATGCACACAAGAACTGGGGTACAGGCCAGAGGTACAGGGGGTGAGAGGATTCACCAGAGACAGAGCAGGGAGCAGAACAGGCAGATCTACTGAAATATACTGCTGAGGGGATCAGCGGGCGAGTCAGGAGAGGTCTGCTGTGCCAGGTGGGCAGCTCCCTGGCTGGGGATCAAACTCATGTTGCAGTGGCTGGCGATAGCTTCATAGTGCTGAGACTTAACCCCTTGTACCACCAGGAAGACCCTTTCCCTTTCTTTTTAATAGTCTTTGCTCCCCTGTACTTTTTTATTTCTTGAAGTTTTTCAACTATGTATTTCTTTCAATCCACATCCCATCCACACAAGTGTTGCAACATATTATTAGGTGATGCTTGAGGTGTTGCTGATTTACTATTAAAGAATAAACTCTTTGGCGAAATTATTTTTCAAAATTAAACCAAATTAGAGCATGTTGCTAGCTATGTAACACAGTAAATGAGAAAGATGTACACAGAGGTGTCATAGTATGTTGGGTAGGACAAGACAGAAAGACTGGAAAATGAGCTTGCAAATCCTGTTGGAAAATGGACTGGAATTATCTGACATAAATAATATGAGCAAAATGAAAAAGAGAATTATCTTTCGCAAGCCTCTGTGAATTGCTCCTCCCCCAATCTCCAAGCATCCTCCAAGGATTCCCAGGTTCTTAGATTTGCGATGCCTAGAACCGGTGCTCTCTAACAGGGCATAGGTTTGGCCAGTAGCTACAGTCACTTCTTATGCACGAGACAGGCCACCAGAGCAGGACATCTGAGCAGCAGTTTTCCTCTCCCCACTAGGGCCACTGTGACACTCTTGTCCTTCTTTTTTGTTTTTATTATTATTTTCTTTATTTTATAGATTTTTTACATCATTCTTCAGTTTTACACAATATGTGCTTTATCATTTCAGGTCTAGTCCCTGTGGAATTCCCCCCCGCCAGCTCCCCCCTGCACCATCACCATGGTCCCTTGTGTTCTTCCCACCCCCTGTTTTGATCCAAATCCTTCTTCCCCTCTGCTGCAGAGTGTCTCTGGTTCATAGTTTCCTGTTGATTTTGATTTTTACTTTATTATAATTACTTTTTTCCCCCTGATCCCTTATTTGGATCCGCTACATTCCTCCTATAAGTGAAACCATCCACTATTTTTCATTTTCTTTCTGGCTTATTTCACTGAGCATGATCCTTTCCAGCTCCATCCATGTTGCTGCGAATGGCATGAGTGTGTCTTTTTTGAGTGCTGAGTAATATTCTATGGTGCCCTTCTTACCCAATAGCCACTGGAGTGGTTGTCAGGAGGGAGCCTGGTCAACTCACTTCTCCATTCACTCACACTTGTCTCACTATCACCCGGGGACTGCCTTATTTCTGGCTAGGGAGTCATGGTCTAGAGAACCTTCCTCACACCTTACCACCCTCTTCCAGTGCCCTGCATGTTCAAATCCCTCTTGGAGGTGAACAAGAACTTGCCTGGTCTACCTGGAGATGTGGGTTGAAAGTTCCTGGTATGTTGTCCAGGTCCCCACATAGCATCACCTGTTTCTTCTGTTCCTTTACTGAGTCATTGTCTCACCTGAGTCTTTTCTTGAGTTATTTCCTACCTGAGTTTGAGTGTACACTGCTATTCTGGGCTTCTCCTATGGAATCAGGCCCTAAAACTCACTGGGGCTTAATATTAGTCACAACATTCCCTTCTTGATACTGACCACCCACTTTGTAGTCTACAGCTCATGTTAGCCTCTGAATTTGAGACGAGTTTATTCTACAGATTTAAATTGTAAACCTGTGTGCCTGGTACTGTGATTTCTTAACAATTTCAAGACTTCTGATAGATGGCTTGTCTTATCTCATTCTTGTCTTTCATTTCTGTTCTGCCATTGCCTTTGCTTCCTGCTGAACATCCCTAAACCCAACTCCCTCTCCTTTCTTGGCAGTTCAAGTTTACAGATTTCTACTCCACTCCTTCCTTAATAGTTTTTGACTTCATGATTTATGTTTCCTCAAAGGGTGAGGTTTATTCTCTAAATTATTGTTTCTTTTTCAGCTCCAATGTAGTCCATCCAGCTTCAACCATGATTGATGAGTCCCAGGAAAGCACAGGGAAGTCAGCTGGGTCTCCAGCCAAGGTAGATTGAGCTCAGACTTCAAAAATCTCATTTTGGGTGGTGATAACATTTCTCCTATTTTATCAAAGCACCAAGAAATAAATGGTTTGGTGGTTCATGTTTGAACTAAATAGAGAAAATTTTTACTATTAAATAAAGATAATTTTTACTATTTAATGTAAGAAGTCATTCTTACGGTGGAAAAGTTAATTAAAAAAAAAAAAAAAGCCTGTTACAGCATTGCTGAAGACCCAGATTTCTTGCCTTAGAAGACAAAGATCTGAAGCTACTGGGTGCTGCTTTTGTTCAGCATATGGAATAAGGCTTGTTACTTCCACGTCAGTCCTTATTTCTGCTCATGGCTTCCTGAATCTCTGTTCAAGGTCTGCTTGTGGGTGGGAAATGCTGATTTATGAAACTCTAGATAGTAACATTGGTATCCAGTCTTACATTAATTAAAATTAATTTTAACAATTGTAATTAAAAACAGTTCTATTTACTGTACCTTTCTGTCATTAGTTTATCATGATAGTGACTTTGAAGCACTTTAAGATACTTTGATGTGTCTTTTACATCCTTATAGAAAAGATAATTTGTAATTATGTTTAGAACAGCTTTAATCTAGCATAGTGATGGTCTCCTGAGGTGGAAAAGGGACTGTGGGAATCTGCCCTCACTATGGTCTCAGCTTTACCCTGACCTTGATCTACTCTTTGATATATGCAGGCCCAATTTTCTCACCTCTGTAAAGTATGGGACTTCAATCTGCATACATGGTTGTAGTTTAACTTTGTAGGACCGTGGGATGAGTGAGTTTACTTTATACAGTTTTATTTTCATATATGGTAATTCTCTGCTAACCAGACAACCATTTCAACCATTTTTCAAACTTACCAGATAAAGTTTACTAGATAAAACCATCAAATATTGGACATAATAAGCATTTGCAAATACTGAATTACTGTTATAACATTTCAAATGAGTTTTAATAAACAATATTTTTCCCTAGCAAAGGAAGAATCCATTTAATAGCCCAGAGTTGCCAGAAGATTACTTACCGCAACAAACCAAAAATGAGCCTTCGAGAAATGGAAAGACTGGTTTCTTTCAGACTTCAAAAGAAGGTAAATATTATTTTTATGGACTAGATATTTTTAACTTTGTTACCTGTGGGCTAAGGGAAATTCTCAGTGTTCTTTTGACTAAAATATCTTTCAGGAGAAAGTGAAAAGTCCTGCTGGTTTTCTTATTCCATAATATCATTGGTGTCCTGCCTGAAGGAAGGAAACACACATTTTCAAAACTGGAAGTTCTGCTCTTGGTGCTGACATTTATTGTGTGACCATCATACCTTTGGGTCCCTGTCAATGAATTGGAAAATGTTTTTACTAGAGATCATTTAACGACTTTTACTGGGAGTCTACCACGTGCAGACACAGTTCTCTGTTTAAAATTAAAAGAGTTTTCTTCAAGAAAAAAAATATGGTCACTTGACAATGTTATATGATTTTCTTAATCTGTAGTTATCAACTCAGTTCTGCAGGAACATTTGATCAGATTTGTGGCTGCCTCTTATGGAATCTTACCATTCTTCCATACAATTCAGAGAAAATACTAGATGGTTCACTCTCTTCAAAGGCAACTGTAAAAAGATTCCACAAGCATTAAAGGTTGCATAAAGAATAGAGAATTTACAATTAAACAATGTCATTGGGAGTTTCAATTAGCCTGTCTTAATATTAGTGTATTTTCCCTTCTCCATTGGATCTACTTTATGTAGCATAAAATATTTTTCAGACAAAAAGACATTAGAACATGTTACCTGGATTTTGTTTTTGCTTTGTTTTTATTACTTTTTGGCAAAATCAATTTGTGTGAGTGTGTGTGGTAAATTGGTTTACAACACTGTATGTGATTCAGAGGCGTAGGGTCACACATCCACAGTGCAAGTCCCTGCACCACACCCACCACCAAGGTACCCAGAGACCTGGACCATAGTTCATTGTGCCCCCTCTGCTTTGTAAACACAAAGTTCATTGTGCCCCCTCTCTCTCGTAGCTTTAACAATCAGTTTTCTAGGGTTTGTTATTGGATTGGTTTTAACAAAATGAACTTTTGTTTTAGGTATTAATAATTCTTTCTAAAAAGGTGAGTTCCTTTTTGTGGTTTCAGTCTTTGAGTTTTAGAAGTGACTTCTGTGTTTTTTCTTGAGTCTTCTTAAGGATTTTTCTTAAAAAAAAAAAAAAACCCTTTGTATTGAGTATAAAATACCACAAAGCATATACATAAAAGACAATAATCTTAGATGTACAGTTCAATTTTAAGGACTTTTTAATTAGGTCTGCAGTTCTGCTACATATTTCATTGTGTTTAATGTTTTAATATTTTGCTAAATGTAGACTAAGTTTGTGATAGTCATGTTAAATTATAGAATCACTCTTCATTTTTCACATCACTCTTCATTTTTTACATCACTGACAGGTGAATTGTCAGAGTCAAAAGAAAAGTCATCTACTCTGACTATTTCAAGCCAAAAGATAGAGAAACCAAAGCAGACTTTCTCAGGCTCTGAGGATGGGTCCCAAATCAAAACTCCAGTCCCCAAAGCCAGGAAGATGATGTACAAATCAAGTGATCTAAAGCGAGATGAGAGCCAGTCTTTTCCTAGACCAAGAACAGACTCTCTGAATGCAAGAGGAGCACCAAGGGGAATCCTGAAGCGCAACTCCAGCTCCAGCAGCACAGACTCAGAAACAGTGCGTTTGCAGCAGACCTTTGAACCCAAAAGCAAAGCTGTGTCCCCTCGCCTGACCATCCATGAGAGGATTTCTGAGAAGGAGCACTCTTCAGAAGATAACTCCGCAAACTCTTTGGAGCCATTAAAGCATGTGAGATTCTCTGCAGTGAAGGAAGACCTCCCTCAGAGTCCTGACCAAATCCACAGCCGGGAAGTGGGAGAATTTAATGTGTTAGAATCTGACAGGTTGAAGAATGAAGCTGAAGAGGCAGGGAATGTAGGTACAGTTTGGAATGACCATACGCCTCCCCTGGACAGAAAGCCTTTGCCTTTCCATCAGTCACCCTCAAGCCCAAGTGCATCAAAAAATGAAACACATCAGCCAATGACTTTTCCAACTAGTGAGCACCATTCTCCATCAGAAGTGTTAACTACAAGACCACAGTCCATTGAGAGTTCACCTGTCATCAGTGAGCATAAAGTTAAATCACCAGAATCATTAAAGCTTGAGTCAGAAGTACCCAAAAGGCCTGCTGGTAAGAGAATTGTCGCTCTGAGTATATAAAAACTGACCCAGTGAGCTTGGAATGGTCAGGCCAGCCAGCCCTGAAAAAGTTCGGTATTGCTTCTTAGGCTCCCCAGGGAGAGTTCAGGCAGATGCCACTGAGGGGATGCTTATCCTTCCTGATGGATTTGGAGATTTTCCTTAATCACCAAAACTGAATAGAACCAGGATAGCACAGTATCTGGCCTTTTATGCTACATGCTAAATAATGTACCTGTGTCAGTTAGTTAAACAAGAATTTAGTTTTGGGAATTATAGTGTATATACAGAGTTAGAATGAAAGAGATGCAGAATAAAAATACTTCTTACCTAATGCAAACTTAACCAAGTATCATTTAACCAAACTCTGGTTTCTCTTCATGTCAGGAGAGCAATGACAATACTGCTTCAAGCTGCTTTCCCACACCCATGCTTCCCATACTCATAGCTGTACTTGATAATTCTTATGTTTTATAAAACAGAAACAGTGGGGGAAACCAGGCTCTCTCATCTTCAATAAGTCCACATCCAACACTATGACAGTTGCTTTATAATCAGTTTACAATAGCCACAGTCAAGTTTCACTCATTTGCTCTACCCTCCGGTGTTAGTATTAAGTTAACCCTCAGTCACTTTTGCTCAGCCCTAAGGTTTTTGTACTTGTTTAGCTCAGTCCACTTCTTAAAGGACAGAACACTTTCACCACTTTTCCCCCTGGACATTTTAAATCACGTGAACAGAATAAGATAAAAAATTAGCACTTGCTTTTCCAAGATATAAAGGAACTCATATTAAAGGAAAAGATGAAAAATTGTCTTTGGCAATATTTTTCTTTTTTATAATCCATATTAAAAATGTGGTATGCCTTTCCTGTTTCGCAAACTGCACCTGTTTTCCCACAGACTATAATTTTATTTTGAATGTGTATTTATGCTTTCTAATTTTTAAATCCCCACTGACCATGAAATTTGGGAGGACACTATAATCAACTATACCCATTTTGATTGGCAGGACTCCTGGCCTTGGAGCTTATACACAAAGTTCTGCTTATTCTTTAATGCAGTGCTTTTTTCCTTGCTTAGGGAAAAATATATTTATAATCATAGAGCATAAAAAAATAAGGACTACAAAAATGTTGAACTCAGTGTACAAATTATGAGGGTTTGACTTTAGTTCTGAGTTTCAGTATTACATTCATCATTATATGGAAAAAAAAAAACAAAACACAAGAATTTCTCAGGGGAAAGGAGATATTGCCAGGCATCCAACAATTTAAATAACTATTCTTATTTTACAAGTAATGTACTTTCATTGTAAAACATTTGAACAGAAGAAATGTACACAAAATAGAACAAATATCATCTGTGATATCACCCAGCATTAATTATTGCTGGTATTTAAATTGTAGAGTCTTTTGGTAATTATCAGATTATGAATATAATTTTAAATTTATACTGCCAGGATCCTTTTTATACTGCCAGAATCCTTTTTCCACTAACAATAGTTACAAATACTTTTTCCAGAGTTAAGTCGTCTTTCGGTAAATGGACTAACAGAATTCCTAAAGATTTCTCAAAGGAACTTCACTATTATTGACATATATTTTTCAATGTGCGGTTAAGTAAGTGAGCTAGTATCCACTATGTGCTAATTATTATATTAGCTTTTGTTTTTATATTTAGCCAGAGTTGATGATTAAAATTAAAAATAGAACTTTATGAGCTGACATGTTCTGTAGCACATTTATTTTTATTTATTAAATTTATTTTTATATATTTTTTACATCATTGTTCATTTTTAAACAATGTTTGCTTTCCCCCCACCCAGGTGTAGATCCCACAGAAGTTCCTTAACCAGTGCACCTGTGCGCCATCACCTCAGTCCCCTGTGCTCCTCCCTCCCTCCCTCCTTTCCCTCTCCCTCCTTCTCCCCTGCAGGATGTCTCTGATTTATAATTGTCTGTTTGTTTTGTTGTGTTTTGTATTGTTATTTTTCCTCCTGATGTCTTATTTGGTTTCCCTATATTCCTGTTATAAGTGAACCCATCTGATATTTTTCTTTTTCCTTCTGGCTTATTTCACTGAGCATAATTCCTTCTAGCTCCAACCATCTTGCTGTGAATGGCATGAGTTTATCTTTTTTGATTGCTGAATAGTATTCTATTGTGTATATATGCCACATCTTCTTGATCCAGTCATCTATTTTGGGGCATTTGGGTTGTTTCCAGGTTTTACTTATTATAAACAGTGCTGCAATAAACATAGGGGTACAAGTTTTTTTTTTTTTTTTTGAATTGATGTTTTTGTGTCCTTTGGGTAGATGCCTAGGAGTGGAATTGCCGGGTCATATGGTCACTGCATTTTTAGTAGACTGAGGAAGCTCCGGACAGCTTTCCACAGTGGTTGGACCAGTTTGCACTCCCACCAGCAATGTAGGAGAGTTCCTTTTTCACCACATCCTCGCCACCATTTGTTGTTGCTGGGTTGTTTTTTTTTTTTTTTTTTTTGATATGTGCCATTCTTACTGGTGTAAGATGGTATCTCATTGTGGTTTTGATTTGCATTTCCCTGATAATAAGGGATGTTGAACATTTTTTCATATGCCTGTTGGCCATTTGCATTTCCTCTTTGAAGAAATGTTTTTTTTAGTTCTTCTGCCCTTTTCTTGACTGGATTGTTTGCTTTTGTTGAGTCGTGTGAGTTCTTTGTATATCTTTGTGATCAGTCCCTTATCAGTTGTATGGAGTGCAAAGATTTTTTTCCCAATAGTGGGGTGTCTCTTTGTTTTGGTTAATGTCTCTTTTTCTGTACAGAAGCTTTTCATGTTGATGTAACTCCAGGTGTTTATCTTTTCCTTGACTTTCTTTGCTTTGGGTGATGAGTCTTTAAAGATGTAACTGAGATGTATGTTTTGCAGTGTTTTACCTGTATTTTCTTCTATATATTTTATGGTTTCAGGTCTTATGTCCAGATCTTTTATCCATTTTGAGTTGATTTTTTATGTATGGTGAGAGGTAATGGTCTAGTTTCATTCTTTTGCATGTGGAGGTCCAGTTTTCCCAGCACCATTTATTGAACAAACTGTCTTTGCTCCATTGCATATTCTTTGCTCCTTTGTCAAAGATTAGTTGTCCATATATGTTTGGCTTTATTTCTGGGCTTTCTATTCAGTTCCATTGGTCTATGTGTCTGTTTTTGTTTCAATACCATACTGTTTTAACTATTATGGCTTTGTAGTATAGTTTGATATTTGGAAGTGTGATATCTCTATTCTCCTTTGTTTTCATCAGTAGGGCTTTGGCTATTCGCAGTTTTTTGTGGTTCCATATGAATTTCATCAGTATTTGTTCTATTTCTTTGAAGAATGTCATTGAGATTTTTATTGGAATAGCATTGAATCTGTAAATTGCTTTTGGGAGAATGGCCATTTAAACAATGTTAATTCTTCTAATCCACAAGCAGGAGATGTCTTTCCATTTCTTCATGTCTTCTTTGATTTCTTTTAATGGTGTTTTATAATTTTTTTGTATAGGTCTTTCACCTCTTTTGTTTGGTTTATTCCCAAGTATTGGATTTTTTTTTTGTTTCAGTTATAAAAGGGATTTTTTTCTTGATTTCTTCTTCAGATTGATTGTTTGTGTATAGGAAGTCTTCTGTAGCACATTTAAAATGTAGTTCACTTCACAAAAATTCAGCTCATGTAATTTTCAGGAACATGAATTGTGTACTTTAGGTATAAGGAAGAGTTAGAAATGTTTACACATTTGAGCCTTAACTAAAGGAGAAAAATTCTTGAGTCTCCTCATCTAAATGTACCATGAACCCTATAGGTTAAGGTTCTAGTAGGACTCTCTACTTTCTTTTTTTTTTTAGATTTATTTTTTTATTCATACAAGAACTTGGGTGTAGGTCAGAAGAGCAGGGTGAGGGTGGTGGTGAGAGGATTCACCAGAGACAGAGTGGGGAGCAGAACAGGCGGACCTACTGAAATATACTGCTGAGGGGAGCAGCAGGCGAGACAGGAGAGTTCTGCTGCGCCATGTGGATTAACTCCCTGGCCATGGATTGAACTCATGAAGTGGCTGCCAATAGCTTGATAGTGATGAGACTTAACCCATTGTGCCATGGAGGAGGCACCCAGGAATCTCTACTTTCTTTGTAGCTTAGAAAGAACTTAAATATCCTTCTGTAACCTCCACCCTTAACTGACATCTTGGAACGGGTAGAGATCATGTTCTCCATCACTCCTACTAATTATTTTTAATTTCAGTTTATTTTATTTGGCTCACAGAAACTACTTATAACTAACAGACTATAGAAAGGATCTGGGAGATTATGGGGAAGGCATTTGCGATCATGCTCCTCAAGCTGTAGTGTGCAACAGTGACAGGGATAGTTACTACTGAAGAATCTTGGGCCCCATCTTCAGAGATTCTGGTTCAGTATATCAGGAGTGAGACCCCAAAATGTAAATGTCCTCATTGTGACTTTGTTATAGTCTGGAGGAAATACCTTATTTTACTTTCGTGAATGTTGTTTTTCTAACTTCTAGAATCACCTAAGTCCATGTTCCTCAAACTTGGGTAAAAGCCACCTCTAGGGTTTATGAGTGTGCCAGTGGATGGCTGGAGTTATGAAATCAACATGATACATCTTATGGGTGTTGTTTTTGTACAAATATTTGAGAGTAAGAGAGAGTTGTTTAAAATGCAATCTGGAACAGAATACAAAATTCGCACAAAATTTTAAAGTAAATCAGAGATTTCAAGAAATTTCCCAATTCAGTATACACTCCAGGGATCTACATTTACCATCCTTTATTGCCATTTGCTTTCCTTTGGTAGACTATCTCAATAAGGGGGGCTTACTTTATAACCCTTAGCAATGGTGATAGAAACAGCTAGTGTCAGGGTAAATGCAAACACAGTGCCTTTTAAAAATAAAGTGTAATTGAATAATAATTTTTTAGCATTCTTTTTCTTATTTTGAAAAGCATTTCTGTATTGCAGATGAACTGTCTCGTGTTGGACCTGAGTCATGTCAGGTGCCAGGTGGCAGTTCTAGAGACCATCAGCAAGGTAAGCCCCCTCTTCTCACCACCCCAAAAGCTAAGACACCCTTACGCTTTGGTCCATATGCCACTGAGATAAGGAAGACAACTGATGATTCCATATCTAAAGTCCTCGACTGGTTTAACCGAAGTTCTCATTCAGATGACAATAAGTTATCTCTCCATCAACCTGAAGGAATAGACTCCAAAGAAAATGACTCAAAATCACAACTTGCTATTGCCATGGTGACAGATGACACCAGTCTGAAAGAAAATGACTCAAAGGTGCTATCACCCACCACAGTTGAATTGGCACCTGTGGGATCTGATTCAACATTTCAGGCAGAGGGAAATAAGCCACCTTCTGGATGCATCCAAGATAATGTGAACAACAAAACCGAATCTATTCATTTGTCTCAACAAGGCAAGGGAGGTCCAGGCATATTGCAGCCATTTGAAATCTACAGTCCAAATGAAAGGAGTAAAAATATGGACTCGAGCCAAGCTTCCAAATACATAGTAAAAGGAAATAGAGTATTTCCCCCAACCAGTAACCACTCGTATAGAGCTCTCAAAGAAAACCACGTTCCAAGTGAAACTAATGATGTTGGTAGCTTGGGTGAAGAGCCCCAGCTTCATGTCTATGAAAAACATACAGGAAACTCAGAAGTGAATTTTGAGTCTTCAGTTGTCAAAGAACCAAGTTTTAAAGACAATTTAAAGACAAAGAGAACATGCAAAGGAGATACTTGCACCCTGAATGCTTCCTTAGAGCAGGAGAATAATGAATCACCATCTGGGGCTACCAACAACAGCTCTCCTTGGAAGAAATCTGAGGTTCCACTACAGCAAGAAGCTGGTGAGGCTCCCCAGAGCCAAGTGCAAAGAGAGAAATACAAAAGAGTGAGTGACAGAATATCCTTTTGGGAAGGTGAGAAAGCTGCTGCCAAGTTAACTCATAAAGACCTAATAACTTCACATGGCCAGGGACAACCTTCTAAAGGAGATCAGCCTTTGAAGACACAGTGTGTGTCCATGGAGCATTTGTCTATGGACCAGAGTGAAGATGATCAAGTCACTGCCAAACAAGTGGTCCTGGATGAGGATGGTCCAGCAGCCCATCTCTCTGGTCATTACTCCTCAAGTAAACTTAAAGACACCAGGCCTCCTATATTAGGTCCACACAAAAATTATCCTTCATCTGAGCAGCCAGTTAAAGTGCCTCTGTTTCAGAATAAGATAAATGAGCCTATACAAAGATTGCCAGTGGCAGAGAGTTTGCATACTGAAGGGGAAGTTACTTTACCAGAACTCCAGCATCCTTCAAATATTGGGAGTGAAATATATGCTCCTTTGGAGAAAGACAGATCTCTAATTGGTGAATCAAAACCCAGCTTTAAAGTTATGTCCCTGAAGGAAAGAATGGATGAGCCCAATACAGAACAGGTCTATAATCATTCTCAGTTTGAGAATTTGAGAAAGTTTTGGGACTTAGGAGCCAATTTGAACAACAAGGAAAACGTTGAGAAGAATACCACAATAAGTCAAAAAAACTCCAGACCTTTTAATAGCCAGAAGCACAAAGAACTCAGTGACATTAAATCCTCAGAAAGAGACACCCATGAAATAGAGACATGTCTCAGCCAAAAAAAAGTTCTGGCAAAAGAGGAAATGGAGAAATTCAATTCAAAGTGCATACCCCATGTGTTACCAGGTGAAACCACATTTCCATTAAGAACACCCAGAAAGTCTACTCATCAGTTGCCAGGAAATGAGTCATCAAAGGAAAATGTGGAAAAGAATACCAAATGGTTTGAGACTCCAGGGTTCAAGGAAGAAAAGGATTACTCAGACCAAGAGATTCAAGAATCCATAGTGAAAACAAGTGTTTTGTCTAAAGACTATAAAGACACTTTTAATGACAGCTTACAGAAGCTGCTTTTGGAAGTTTCATCATCAGCAATCCAACTTTCCAGTGGAGAAGTTCATGGACAAGTGCTTGCACCTGGTGTTTCTGAATATAGGACAAGGCTGCAAAAGACAGATTTTGCTGATTCTGATGAAGTTGCTAGAGGACCTAAGGAGATCATTGATGAGCATGTAGACAAAACAGTAGCTCCTCCAAAGTTCAAGCCAAACACGTTGACTGCTAGTCTTGACAAACTTCTGAAGGAAGCAACTGGAACATCACCCTCTCCCTTGCAAATCAAGTTGGAACCCCTCACCTCTAGGGCCAATTCTGAGCCTGAAGAGAATAGTGTTTTTGAAAAAGAGGTAGAAGGAAGTCATAGCACATCAGCCTGTCAAAGAGAGATAAGAGCTTCTTTTCCAGAGGGCGAAGAAACTTTGGGACAGACAGCTCTCTCCCAGAAAACTGAAGGTAGTGAGTGCCAGCCAAACAGGGAGAGCTTGTTGCAGATGACTGCAGGAGATGCTTGCCCACTGGAGCCACCTTCCCATCTTCGCAGAAAGGGTTCTCTTGGGGATGTGGCCAACTCTCCCCAAGACACATCTTCCTTCCAGTATACTCATCTTGCTCCCCAGGATAAGTCACTATCTTCTCAAAGAGAAATTTCAGAGACTGTAGAAAAAGTCATTCTTCTACCCAAACCTCCGTTGAAGGATGTAAATGCTGCATTACAAAAGCTGCATAGAGAAGCTTGGTTGACTGGAAGGGAAGTCATTCCTGGAGAAGTAAAAGAAGAATTTCCTGAAATAGTCCAGGCAACAGGTAGCCCCCAAAATTATTTGGGAGATACTGCACCACAGACTACGCAAATGTCTCCATCAGTCCAAACCCTTAGCTCATCTGTTTCCACTGTTGCTCAGTATGGCAAAGCGTTGCCTCAGGAAGTAGCAGAAATTGTGAGAGAAACAGTTATTCAACCTAAATCAGATCTCCTTGAATTCAGTACTGGCTTAGAAAGGCTATTAAAGGAAACAATTGAAACCCCCTCCTCAAAATATGAAAGTTATAGAGAGACCCTTTCTCCATCACAGTTAAAAGGTAGTATTGAGGTGACCAGGCAAGCTGCTTCTGAATTCCATGCTAAGGAAATAAAAGAAACTGTAGAAAAGTCTGAAGCTCCATCAATAACTGAATGTGCTTTTGAAATTGGTTTTGAGAAACTCCTCAAAGAGGTACCTCAAGTTGCTGCTTATCAGCCCCAGGTGCCAGTGAAGGAAGAAACTCCTGAGAAGGAGCCCTCCCAGTCAGAGCAGGCCAGGTTCTTGGGCACAGTGACCCATCCTTACCAGACAACCTTCAAGGCCTCTGACATGAAAGTTGCCAGTAGTGTTTGCAAATCTCAAGCCAACCAACATGATAAAGAGTTGGGAGGAGACAAAACTGTAACTAATTTATTAGTAGATCCCTATGGTTCTGAAAGTGGGATTGAGATCTCTGGAACCCCAGAGATGGACTATGATATAAGGACCACAGAAACCATAAAGCCCCCAGAGAACAGAGATAGTAAAAGTGAGATTGCAGGCGTTCAAGAAAGGGAGCCTGGCTTTGAAGAGGCTCCTGAAGTAATGAGTGTGTCCAGAAGTAAGCAACCCATGCCTCTTCTGATGAACAAAGAAAACCCTCCCAACCCTCTGACATCACTGTATAAGAGACGAGAGAAAGACGAAGATAAAGGCTTCTCTGACTCTGAATTTTCGGATGGGAACACAAGTTCTAACGCAGAAATTTGGAGAAATACCTCCAGTGAGCATATTTTAACTCATTGGTTAATAAGTTAATTTGTGGAATGCTTATGACAAAGATACATTTTTTAATTGGGATTTTTAATTCGGATTTATTTGACACTCCCAAATGGTGCTAAATTCTTTTTATTACTTCAGTTTTCCCTAGCCTTTCTTTAAAAAAAAAAAAAAGCAACCTACATTTCCTTTTATATTCTTTAATCAAATGAGGTAGAGATGGCTTTACCCACAAGACAATATTTTAGAACTGACCTTATTCTCATTAACCTACCAATACAATTTTTACATTTCAAAAATATTTTTAAAGAACTTTTGAGTTCAAAAAGTACCTTTAAAACACTCAAGATAATATTCCTCCTGAAAGTAATCAGAATTTCTTTCTTAATTGGCAGTCTACACAGAAGTCTCTAGTAAGATTTGTGACCAAAAAAGTGCTACAAATTGGCACAAATTTCCCTTTTAGGGGAAATATTTTACCACAATAGTGACTAAATACCAAGAACAAAGTGCAAGGCTGGAACTTCCTTTTCCTCAGAACCCTTGTGCTGTGATATCTTTGTTGCCACTCTCTCCTTCTTGTTTTCAATTAACTGCAGACTCTTCCCCTTCTAGAGTATGACTTTGGTCAGATGACTTCACCTGATTCCACCTAAGGGCATTGCCTGGCCTGTTGCATTTCTTTGCTTCCAGGTTTGGCTATATGGCTGAATATCTTAAATGATTCCCACATTCTTCTTAGTGGACCTGGGTCCTGGTTTCAGTCAAGCTATGAAACAGAGGGCTTGTCTGAGTTGGCTCTTCTGATTGCTATCTGGGCATGAACCTAGAGGCAAAGAACCCAGAGGCAAATAGGAGCGAAAAGTCACCTAATTAAAGTGATGAAATGGTAAAAGATACTCTCTGGCTGGGACATTTTAACCAAAGTTGCACAGCAGCTAGTTTCGATTATTCTAGTATCTTGATAGAATTTGTCATTCTCACTCCCTTCGGTCTCTGTGAGGATAAGTAAGCTTTTACTGAGTGTCCTCTAAGGTTTGGGTTCCTTTGCATGTAACCCTTCTTGAAAGCTGATTAAAGCATCTGTCCTTAATCCTATTTCATCAGAGTGAAGCCATGTTAACAAATGTTGCTGGTAAGAAAAGGATAGTGAAATATTAGTGTTTAGAGTCAAACATATGCCAGCATATAAAACTTGTTGAGATAGACTCTTACTAACCCACCCCATGAGTCACTGGGATAAGTCTTACTAAACCACCCCATGAGTTACCTGAGGAGGAGAGGGCCTCACAAATTTCTTTTACTTTTAGAGACTATTGTCTAATGTGTATAGCCAACATTTTGATTGAACAGCAAAATATACTTTCTAAAAAGGAAATAATAAGTATTATATAACCACCCAGACAGAACTTAAGGAAGATATTTCAAAATTATGAGCCAAGTAAGAGGTGTAAAATGATATATAGTTTTATATATTCTGGCCTAAATTTTTATTTTAAAGCAAACTGTGGGCTGAGTAGGTGGCTAAGCAGGCACAGAACCTGACTACAAGGGCAATATAATTGTGGGGAGCAACCTGATATGCTTGCCTTGTGCTTGAGCTCTTAATCATCTCAGCCAATCAATATATTCCTTTAAAGGGGGAAAGAAGGACAGGTCTCATGGTCACATATTTGTAGAAATGTGGGGCGATTATTCATATAATTATCATATTAATGTTTTTAATAAAGTCTCAGGAAGATCCTTTTTAAAACAGAGCATCCCAAATCTGATTCATTTAAAATCATTTGCTCTGGAATATCTATTAACATTGGGCTGGCGGGGGGGGGGGACTGGGATGCATTTCAGGAAATTATTGTCTAGAGAAGTGGTTTTCAAATCCATTGACTCATTAATGGAATCGTTCATTGATTTAGCAAACATTACTGAAGTGCCCACTGCCAGATGCTATTCTAGGCGCTGGAATACAGGGGTGATGAATAACAGCCAGGGCTTATCCATCATGGAGTCATCACTGTCAAAATGGGTAAACTAAGCACTGTCCAGAGAATTTCTTCTGTTATGTTATATGTACTTAAAGGGTAGTTCTTATTCTGAAACAGAGTTATGCTCTGTTTCTTTAGGTCCTAAAATACCTTTCTTTTTGTAAAATAAAAACAATAGATGATAGAATCATTGAACCCCTTTAAAATGCCTTAGTAAAATGTCACTTCCCAACAATTTGTTGGTAATTTCACTGACACATGAAACCAGACAGCCTGCATCAGTTGCTCTAGAGAGCTCACCCATCTGCGCACCAAATTACACACAGATGTTAAACATCTGAATCTCCCTTCCATGGTTTTCAGCTAATTTTTTTAGTGCCCCTAAAATAATTTCATGGCAGTCCTCAAAAGCTAGAATGTGACACAAAGTCTCACAGAGAACAAATCCTGTGCCCAAAATAGAGGTATAGAAAACTAAGGCTCACATTTCTATTACGTGGAGTCTTATTTCTGTATGATTTATGCTTGCACTTTTTTTTTTGACCAGACAGGTTATTTTTTTAAAGCACATGCTAGCATGGCAATTTTATTTTCTTCCAGGAAATGCTTCATACAGTAAATAAAACTATAGAGGCTTACAGCACAATACCCCCCTTCAGCCTAACATTTCAGTGTCCATTGGTTACTAAGGGGTTAGGTGGTTGTGTTTTGTTTTTTTTTTTATTGCATTGTGCGGTGTTCATCAATTTTGTCTTGTAACAGGTTCAGAAGAAGAACCCAGTCCTGTTTTGAAAACATTGGAAAGGAGAGCTGCTAGGAAAATGCCTTCCAAAAGTTTAGAAGACATATCATCAGATTCCTCAAGTGAGAATAAAATTTGCCCCATCCATTTGTGCTCCCATCTAAGCTTAAACATGCTTATTATGTGCTCTTCTGTGGCCTCACTGCATGCTGTTGTGCACTGGAACCCCTCAAGGGGGGAGGTTAACAGATGAGAATAATCTTTCCCATGTGAACTGAAGAGACGCACTCTAAAGTTGCTGGAACTTTGCTTTAAAAATAGTACATGAGGTTACGAACACTAGGTTTTCTTGAATTCAAGAACCCCAGTTTGAGTGTTTACTCAAGTTTTTAAAGATTGAGGTAGCTAGGAGTACTAGTGGTCCTAGCTGACATTTATAGAGCACTATGTGCCAAGATGTGGCTGAGTGTTTTACTTGAATTACCTCATTTAACTGCGTAAGTATCCTTGAGAGGAACCAATTGTTATCCCATGTACAAATGAGGAAATTGAAGCTCCGAGAGGTTCACAGAGCAGGGCTGGCACTCAAAATCAGCATTAATGAGTGACCATGCTAAGTATTACCATGTTGGATGTCTGAAGAATTTTGCACAGTGTGGAGATGAATTAGTCACTGGTTTCAAGGACTTCCTTTTCTCTTGTATCCTTTCTTTTGTCTTCACTGTAAGCCTGAAGACTCTCTGCCGTGCACTACTTTAGGCACACTGTTCTCCACTGGCTGCCGCTTTAATTGAGGGATTTCTTGAGTATTAATAGAGAGCACAATGTATAGAGGACTTGTAGGCCAGAATAATGAACTTAGAATTCATGATTTCTAGGGCTTTGTTCTTCCTGGTTTTAAGTTGAAATGCACCCATGGGACTAGAGATGATCATGAGAAAATATATTGAGTGCAAGTTAATCACTGCCAAACTCACATAATTTAACACTGACCATTCTCATAGTTAGAATACTTTCTATGCATCCACAGTTGTAACTAAAAATGTCAGAATTTAAAATGGAAAAGAAAAAGCCACTCCACTAAACATGAAAACAGTATTCTCGATTTGGGGTGCACTCCTAACCTTTCCAATTGGAAGGGACTTTGAAGGTCATCCGTTTCAAATCCCACCACCCCCCATGCAGGAATTCCCTCTAAAGCCTCCTCAACAGGTGGCCAGCCCCCACATTAGCCTGAATGCTTCCAGAGAAGGCAAGTTGATCCTTTCATTGTTCAGCCCCAATTGTTCTTCCTGATGTTAGTGAGGGGGGTGAAAAAAAGAATTTGACAATTGGCCTATTTGGCAAACCTCTTGTCTTCTTGAAATGGGGGCTATTTCCATGGTGCAGTTTTAAGTGCTCAGGAATGTGTAGGGTTAAAAAAAAAATCACCATCAGCTGACGGGTATTCCTGCATACTCCCTTCCAAATACCAATACCCACTCTCATACTAGCTTGCCAAGATTCCACTTAGCAGCTGGTCCCCAGTTACATCTCTTCAGTTGACTTCCCAAGCAAGACTCCCAGAGGCATACACAAATGATGATGCATGTACAGAAATATTTGTTAATGACCATGGGCTTGGGAAGGTGTTAGTCATGGCTAGGATCTTATGCTTTCCAAAAAAAAAAGAATAAGGAGGTTTTTCAGCCCCGTGCTGTGCTGTCTCCTGCTGCCAGCCAATTGCTTGCTCTGAGCTAACCCTCTAACTCTTGGGAGTCTGTGTGAAGCAGTGTGCTGATGTAAGCTGCATCGAGGCTGAAATGGGAGCTCCCGCTATGGCACTGGCTCAAGTAGCTAAAGAAAACGTATTTTGGGGGAAGACATCTTGGTTGCACCCCTCACTGCATCTTAACTAATTGCTTCCAACTCCTGGGGCTTCCACAGCAATCTCGTTGTTCTTTCTCAACAAGGGTCATCAGTGTTAACCATTTGTTAATTTCTCCTGAACAGATCAAGCAAAAGTAAATAATCTGCCAGAAGAATTAGTACATAGTGCTGAAGATGGTAAATATCTTTATGTATTTGCATGTCTGTCTGTATTAGCTTCTGGGGTGGTTTGGGCAGTCACCGGGACTGGGACGCAGCTGTTGGATAAATAAAAGAATGTCATTTGCCATTGTACGGTGAATGCTGCTTAAGTTCTGACTTATAGGGCAGTTAATACTAACTGTTTGTATTCTTAAGACTTCTGCGGGTGGTAAAATTGTGAGGATCTTATTAGAGACCTTTGGGAAGTGAGGGTTTCTATAAATAGCAAATTGTATTTTGGGGTATCAGCTGTGTTTTGCTAGTCTGACTTGCAGAAGTTCTCGTGAAGGCAGGAAGAGTGCAGTAGGTTTCTGGGTTATTTCTCTGTTTGATTCTCAGTCTCAGTCAGCAGTTAGATCTTTCTGGGCACAACTGGTAAAGGAAAGGGTCTCAGAACAGGAGTGGGATTCCTGCTTCTGTTCATATAGAGAACTAAATATAGACTGAAGATAGAATTAATTGTTCTGATATTTAGGACCCAGAAGATCTTCAAGCTTGTGAATGAAACAGGTATTAGTTAGTTCGATTATAAAATGCATAGGGTGAATAATATCTTAGTGGGGTAGAGCTGAAAATTAGTCTGATTTTTATAGTTCAGCATTTACTCAAATGTGTAATTTATATTTATGTGGTAGATTTTTCTTTTACTAAATTGCCTTTACCATGATAATGTGTATTCGTGTAAAATGCAGCAACACAACTCCTCAAAGTTCATCGCTTACTTTAATGTGATAATTTTGGTTTTTTATTATGTGTTTAAAACCTCATGGAAGTAGATGGAGCAGGGATTTTTATCTTTACTTCACAGATAAGAAAAGCTCCAAGAAATTAAATGACTTGTATCTGATCCTGTAGCTAGGCAGTCAGAGGGAGGGTAGGGAATAGAATCTCAGCTTCATTACTTCTAGTTCAGTGCTCCTTCATGGTCCATGCTGTGGGTTAGTAATCAGGGGAGAGATACAGAACATCTCCCATGCCTGCTCTTAGAGTTGCAGTTGAGCAGGTGATCTTAAAGAGGCTAATGAAGAGTCACAATGGGGAATGGATGAAAGCGAGCTGAAAACTTGTCAGACATATTCAGCAATCTCAGTTGTGAAACTAACATATGAGTTGTATTTTCATGTCTGTTTAATCTTCTGTTAAAATGGTATTTATTCTCAATGTTGCTCTTCTGAGTAGATAAAAAAGCAGATCAGGAAGCAGATACAAATGAATGCATTCCAGGAAGTGAGTAGCAGGATCTTTCTTATAAATGACTAAATGTTGCCACTCTACATGGTGTTGAATATACTGAAATAACTAACCCCTTAATAACAGTATTTATTATTGGTACTAAATGCCTGTAATTTACAAAACTATTTCATTCTGACAAGGGTTCTATTAAAAATATTTTACTATTGCCTGTCTTAAAAATTTTTATTTTCTATTAGAAAGAGTTATATATTTTCAAATGGTTTTATATTTTCAAATGGTTGTATATTTTCAAATGGTTTCATGGTTCCACTAGCAAGATTTATACATTTTCAAAATTTATATGTATACATATATGTTAAATATATTTGTTATTACCGAGTAGTATTACATTTTGTCAGTCTCTCAGCTCTTTGTGCCTAAAATCAAGTTGGTAACTTCTAATATCACTTGACTTTTATGTCACATTATGGTGTTGAGTATTGTGTTTCTCGTGGCCTGTACAGAAGACTGCAGATGTGAAGCAATTTACAATTTTTTAAGACCAAAGAAACTGTACTTTGATGATTATTATGTGGTATGGCTGTATGTGCCTCTCTACATATCTGTGGAAGCAAATTTTATGATGTCCAGGGTTCTTACAAATATAATATAATATATTTAATAAGCTATGAGTTCAAAGCTGAACTTGAACAGTATATGTTCAATATATAAAGCAAGTCAACATCTGAATTTTAAAAAAATAAATGTGTATTTGTGGTGGCTAATGTCTATCAACTAATTAAATCCAGCAAACAAAGGTGACAATCATTCACTCTTTTCTGTTCCACCTTAAGGGTGATGTGCTTAGCTGTCACTGCTGTCTTGAGGACAGATACACATTTAAAAAAGGTGTCTGTGGGTCCCAGCAGAGCTTTCCAGTTTCATAACCCTAGGCACTTGATGGAGGGATGGGAAGGGGGTGATGATAAAAGTGCCAGCCCTCAGGAGTCAATAGGATTTTTTATAACAATTTTCCCAACAGTCTTTGGATGTGTTAATAGGTGTTAATGAGAAGAGCAGCTAAATGAAGGGACCTGAAGATAGAGAAACAAAGTGCTGATGCTGGCAGGCAGTGATAGCTAGTCTGAAATCTGAACCCTTCCTCATGAGGTCCTCCTGCTTCAGAGATGGAGGTGCTGAGCTTTGGCACCTGATCAACAAATTCTTAAGAACTACTTAGGGAAGAAAACAATACAGGCTCCCGCCTTTGTGGATGTCCTCTGTCTGACTGCTGAGGAAGAATCAAGACTTCTGTCCCTTGAGAGTGTTGGGTAAAGAGGCTTTTCCAGTTGTATTTGAACTGGCAGACACTTAAGTTGCGGCATCTTATTTTATCTTCCTATGTCTTATTCAACATTTAGCCTGAGGAGTGAAAACAAAACATAGTAATAGACCATATGTGCCTATATATCCGTATCTTCATTTACCACCTCCTATTTTGCTGAGTTTTTGGTCAAGGTCATTAAACTAATCATTAATTATTAATTTCTTCTTATCATATTTTCTAAAGTGACTGATAATGTCTAAACCAGGATTATTCTTTTCCTCTAGTGAAGAGTGTATTCTTGCCACAAGACAAAATCAAACACATGATCAGAGCATAAATAACTAAAGCCAAAAAATGCACAGTTGACTACACTGGGGTAGTGTGTATGTACTTTGAAAATGAAACAGAGCAGAGTAACTTGTTTGCATACTCTTTGGGCTAACTGTGTCCTCATGGGACCCATTCTTACTTCCCTGCCAGTGTAAGTCACCCAAATACACACACACATGCACATTATTGTTTAATGGGAAGTGATTAAAGCAGGTATATTGTAAGAAGTCATGTGACTTCCACACATATAACTTACTGGTATCAGAAAGAAAGCATACACTACATTTTCATATTAATGCAGAGTAGCCTAACTTGAATCATTTAAACTTGGTATGGTGACATCACTATTGAAAATTTTCTTGCTTTGACAGGTTTCTGAATAATTTCTACTTTCAAAAAACAGATTTGAAATTGTAGTCTTTCAATAAGTTTGAGTGATAATTGCTATCAGAGAAGTAATCCCACTACTAAGCAAACCTTCTCTTTAGACTCAATAGAAAGACATTTTTGTTATGAGTTGGAAAGATCCTTGCTGTCCAATGAAATAGTTTTTCATCCTATAGCATGTTAAAAATATATCTCAAGGAGATGAACCAGAAAGTTACAGAATTTGTGGTTTGAAACTCTGATGTGAAAAAATAAGTTAAAAATGGTTCACATTGACTGTATTCTTTAATATAATACAAATCCAGCTCCAACTCAATAAGAACGAATAGTTTTCAAATACTCATTTTTCTATTTGGTTCAACTCCTTGCTAGTTCAATTTAATATATGAACACTGCATGTTGCTTACCTATGATCTTCTGCATGTGAATTACTTACTGTACCTTTAACTTGTTTATGAAACAAAGTGTGTTTTCAACTTATGCCTAATGTTGTCTGACAATTGTAAGAATAATTTTGAATGGAAATGCTGCCGTTTAGTTTCCACAGTGCCTTCACAACCTGATAATCAGTTTTCCCACCCTGACAAACTCAAAAGGATGAGCAAGTCTGTTCCAGCATTTCTCCAAGATGAGGCAAGTTTGTCTTTTTTACCTTCAGAAAAAGGGAACCAATGTAGGTTGGATTTGCTATGCCAAGGTTGGTGTGTGCCAAGACAGTGGCAGAGACTAAAGTGTCCCTCCTCCCCTGCTTTCTGGCCACCCTTCTGTCCATTCTTAGACTTTAGATGAACTGACCCTTCCCTGTCATATGAGTAGCGGTAGTGTTGTTGACCCTGGAACAAGGCAAGGCATTTCTCATTGACTCATACTGTAGTTCCTTTTGGTCAATGAAGTCAAATCACATAGATTTGGGAATGTGATTTTTGTTTTAAAGTGGTTACAAAGTAAGAAATACAGGCATAAATATGTTGGCATGAACTAATTATTGGATGTAGTTTAGAGTAGAGTTGATTTGTGAAAGCTTAGTCTAGGTGGTGTAACTAGATTGAAAACATTTGTTAAAATAATGAAGTAGCGATGACATAATTCAGAAGGATCAACTGGGTATAGGTGCTTTGCATACATGATCTCATTTAATCCTCCAACAACCCAGGAGTGGACACCTTCATTATCCCCTAATATTACAGATGAGGAAACTGAGATTAAGAAAGGTGAAGTAAGCTCACTCAGCTAGAAAGGGGTTGAGCCAGGACTGAAGCCCAGATCTGATCCCCATGCTATGAACTACTAACCTACTCTTCCCTGAATATCTAGTATGCACCAATCATTTAATTTTGATTCTGATAATCATTCTCACTAGTTAAACATAGTAGGCAATATGTTCTCCATTTTATAAAAGAAGAAATGCCTCAGAGAGGTTACGTAACTTTCCCCAAATTCAACAGTTACCAAAAAGTAGATAAAAGATTCTATCTCAGATTTCTTGACCGAATTAAGATCCCATGTTTTGTGGCCCTGCTGTGAGGAAAGAACCTGAGCACTTGAGTCAGATAAGCCCAGGCCTGGCAATGCCACTAGTTTGTTGTGTGTTTATGAACAACTCCTTAACTTCCCTGAACCTGGTTTCCTAATAACTATTGTATAAGTAGGTACATGAGGAGTCTGAGAGAATGCAAGGAAAGTACATAACACTGTGCCTGATACATAGGAAGCACCCAGTACATGTAATGTTACTATTTGTGGTTTTGGTCTGATTTTTGATGTTAAAATATAAGACTTCATCCTTAATAGATGGATGTAAAGAAAGCTCTTTACTATGCATAAATTATATCCCTTCTCCCCTGTTTGCTGGCCACCCTTCTGTCTATTTTTAGACCTTAGATGAACTGTATCTGGAATACTCAGCCCCTGGATGTGCTTAAGAATCCATATTATAGCTTCCTTTGGGACAAATCTCTCATTTTTTTTTGTGACTAACTCATAGTGGAAAGCGAACCTTAGGCATCTCATAGAGTTCTTATGCATTCAAAGTTTTATAAATTGCTTTGTTCTTGGTTGGTCATATGAATAAATCATATAATATTTGAGAAGCAAAGAATAACAGTTTTTGCTTTTTACTTTTCTCCTCGCTTCAGTTTTAACACTCTCATTGTGCCACATACAAGAGTCCAATTCCTTTAAATTTGTGCATCAGAGATAGCAAATAAGCGGTATCATTTTACCTTTCGAAGTAAATGGGGATGAACTGAGCATTAAAGAAATAGAGATGAAGTAAGGCCCTTTTCCTTTGTCAGCTGTCCACTGAGGCTTAGCATCAGTCATATTTGTTGAATGCCAGCTATGTGAAAATCGTTGTTCCAGGTCAACAAGACAAGGTTCCACCAGTACTGAATTCCTCCAGTAATTCACTAATGAACTGATATACTAGGCAGATTGTAGTATGTGCTACAACAGAGAGAAGTGGACTTGGTAAGCATTGGGGGAAAGTGTGACAATAGAAACATTAAAAAGGGATGAATTTTTTTTATTCCTTGAGTGGAGAATTCTTATTTATGAATTTATAAATTCTATGTTATAAATTTTGTTTTTCTTTAACTCCTTTCTTAATCTGCATTAGAATTGGCATTCATTATATTGATACATAATTGCATGGCCTGGAATAACTTGGCACGAACTAACTACTCCTCCATAAATGTGTTTCCCTAACCCCAGGAGTCATTGAACTGCATCATAAACTCTAATCCCAAAAGGAACGCATTATGAATCATGAAAATTTTAAGTTACCATATAATAAGCTTTGATCTAAATATAATAAAACTTATTGTTGCCACTTTTCTTTCTTGATCTAGATAAATATTTCCTGGGATATATTTAAAATATCTTACTGATTATTTTTTTTCAAAAGCATGTTAAAATGGCTAGAATATATAGTTGAATGTACTTCCTCACAGCAGCAAAAAGATAAGTACACCAACACCATAGAAATACATAAAAGGTGTTTTAAATCCATACATATATAATGTATTCATGCACATACATGCATGAATGTAAACTCTTAGCTGAAACAGATCACACTAGCATTTCTTTATCCTAATTTAATAGTGTATTAACTGAAAGGTTGGATTTTTAGGGAAATTAAAGCCATGTTAATAATGAGAGGAATTAAGCATGACATTTGATGTCTGACATTCCATCTTAAGGCTTTTATTTTCTGACTTAAGTTAATTTCTCTCATATATCAATAAAATCCTCCAAACACTATAAATATATAATGTTAAGATCATAATAGTGCAGCCTTGTGTAGCACCTTGGGTCCACCTTGTAGGTGTAGGAACATCACATTATTTAGGTGGCTAAACTCTGCCCTCACCCTTAGGTGAGGTCCAAGGCCGACCACCCACCACACCCTGAATCCCACAATCTGGCAGTAAGCACGAGTGTGTCCTCTGACCTTGGGAAATATCATAGGTCAGTGGGAGACCGAGATATATGCTCTTTGCCTAAATAGAGATTCTGATCTTGACTCATTCTGAATTTAAATTTTGTGTATATGATGTTTTTTAGAGTGATGACAGAGAAACAGACACAGCATCAGAAAGCAGTTACCAGCTCAGCAGACACAAGAAGAGCCCCAGCTCTTTAACCAATCTTAGCAGCTATTCTGGCATGACGTCATTGTCTTCTGTATGTAAACAAAAGCTCTGTGTTAATACCTCTGCTTCTGTGACCCTTACCCTGCCATGCTCCCACTACTGTAAAGGGCCTCCTATTGTATTTCTCAGATTCCAAAGGCACCAGCCTTTTTCTCTAACCCACAATTAGCTTCTGGCTAGCTTATCTTCCTCTCTCCTTTTTATTAAGCATGATGAGTTCATTTATATTATTTTTTTTAAGTAAGTACTTTAAAAGTACAACTAAAGTATCAATAAGACAAACCACTACATTTTTCTGTGCAACAGATTGCATAACTTTTATAAAGTCTGTTTATGTCAGATAAGCTTTTGTATGCTTTTTGCAGATATAGAATTATACCTGTATTTTAGCAAGACTGGTGAATAAAATTATAGTTATTCACATTTTAAAAATAGGACTGATTCTTCACTTAAACTAATAGAAGGATTCAGAATAGGATTTTATAAGAAAAATCTCTGAAGTCTAGTTAATCATATTTGATTTTGAAATTTACATAGAACTTTCTTTCACAAAGTGAGCTGGTTATTTGTGCATGCAGTCTGAAGCATGTAAATACGTATGTAAATATATCTGCATTTCTCAAACCTTTTTTGGAGCCTATTTTAATTGAATTTCTGGTAATAAAAATCTAATGTTTGGCTTTGAAACGGCCTTGTAAGTCATCCATTTTCTTCTGTTCCTGACCTCTAAAAGCTGATGACTCAGAGTATGCATTTTTCTTAGATTCGCTGGATAGATAAAAGTAAAATTCCTTTTTATTTATCCATTTTGTAAAAATTGGACTTTTTTTTTAAATTTGCAGTAACAGTGGCTAACAACACTGTATATGATTTCATGGTAAAGGTTCACACTTCGCATGTATGTTACATCATTCCCAGCACTCAAGTACCCAATATCCTTCATCATGGTCCACTGGGCTGCCTCCCTTTAATGCCTGCCCACACCCTCCCATGCTGGTAGCCTCGTTGAGTGCTTGGAGTAATGTGGCACTGTGATTTGTACAACTGGGTTTTCTCATATACTTTTTCTTTAATATTTTAAATACTAAGCATGCCTTAGAATGGCACTCTGACTGCCCCTTAGCATAAAGTCAACCTGCTTTGAAACCAGCATCTAAATGACTTTGCATTTCACTTTTCATCTATCTCTTTTAGAGGCAATTTTTTTTAAAGATTTATTTATCTATTTATTTATTTATTTGTTTGTTTGTTTATTTATTTATTTATTTATACAAGCACTGGGTACAGTCAGAAGCGCGGGAGGGTGAGAGAATTCACCAGAGCCAAATTGGGGAGCAGAGCAGGCAGAAGGACCGAAGTACACTGCTGAGGGGAGCAGCAGGCGGCAGGAGAGGTCTGCGCGCCATGTGGGACCCTCCTCTGGTGGCCAGGGAGCAGCCGGGGATGGAACCGGCGCTGCAGAGGCTGCGGGCAGCTTCACAACCCAGCGCTCAACCGCTGCGCCACCGGGGAGGCCCTAGAGGCAATTTTTTAAAATTCTAGAGTCGTCATGTATATCATGTCAGAGTGTCTGTGTTGATATGTCTTTATGCCATATCAAATTAACTGCTTTTATATGCAAGATGGAGAATTAATGGCAAGCAAGGATAACATCCTTGATCCTGTGTTGAGTTCAAGAATGAGATAGAGACGAACTCTACCTATTTCCAATGTTTTCAGGTGAGTGGCAGTGTGATGAGCGTTTATAGTGGAGACTTTGGCAATCTGGAAGTGAAAGGAAGTATTCAGTTTGCAATTGACTATATGGACCCCCTGAAGGAATTGCATGTCCTTGTGGCCCAGTGTAAAGACTTAGCAGCAGCAGATACTAAAAAACAGCGTTCAGACCCGTAAGTACATTTTGGAGTCACCACTTCACCTTACTTTTCAAATTCTTAATCTTACAGAAATTGGGAAGGAAAGAAAGTAATTGAAAGGAGGGTATGTGTATGACTGTGTTAAAAGGAATGTTTGAAAAATTGGGGGAAATGCTATTTTATTTAATTCATAAATTCATATGCCAAAATTATCAAATAATGAAAATGTTAGATGTTGATTTATAATGATGCACACCTGAAACTTATATCATGTTATCATGCACTGTTATTGCAACAAAAAAGTTCTAAAAAATTAAATGTCAGAGAAGCACAAAATATTTCAAATTAGAAGAGACCGCTGAGGTCATCCTGTGTGTGTGTGTGTGTGTGTGTGTGTTGGGGGTTGGGAGTTGTTACATTTTTTACAGACAAGGAAACAGAGGGCAGCAAAGATAAGCCACCTATTTAGATAAATTCAGATAACAGCAAAATGAGGAATGAAAACTTTTGTTTCCCTCTCCCTCCCCTTGCTTTGCTGTATTCCTCAGATCTATGGTCAGCTTGCTAGTTTTGAATTTTTCTTGACCTTTTGTTTGGCCTTCTCTGTGTTCCCCATATAAGTGAGACTATCTGACATTTATCTTTTTCTTTCTGACTTATTTCAGCCTGCATAATTCCTTCCAGCTCCATCCATGTTGCCACTAATGGCATGTGCTTGTCCTTTTTGATTGCCGATTAATATTCCATTGTGTAAATATACCACAGCTTTTTGATCCATTCATCTATTTGGGGGCATTTAGGTTGTTTCCTTCTCTTAGTTATTGTAAATAATGCTTCAATAAACATAGGAATGCAGGTTTCCTTTTGAATGAGAGCTTTTGTGTCCTTTGGGTATATTCCTAGAAGTGGAATCACTGGATCATATGGTAGATCCATTTTTAGTCATTTCAGGTCCTTCACACAGCTTGCCATAGTGGCTGGATTAGTTTACATTCCCACCAGCAGTGTAACAGGGTTCTTGTATTGCCACATCATCTCTAGCATGTGTTGCTTCTGGTGGTGGTTTTTCATGCAGGCCGTTCTCTCTGGTGTGAGGTGGGATTTCATTGTGGTCATGATCTGCATTTCCCTCATAATTAGTGATGTTAAACATCTTTCCATATGCCTGTTGGCCATTTGCATTTCTTCTTGGGAGAAGTGTCTTTTTAGCCTTTTTTTTTTTTTTTTTTTTTTGTGTCTTGTTTATACATGCACTGGGTACAGTCAGAAGCGCGGGAGGGTGAGAGAATTCACTTGCTTCTGCACGCCATGATCGAACCGGCGCCGCAGAGGCTGCGGGCAGCTTTTGCGTTTAGCCTTTTTGCCCATTTTTTGATTGGGTTTGCTTTGTTTTTCCTTTTCTTTTTTTTAAAGATTTATTTATTTATTTATTTATTTATTTATACAAGCACTGGGTACCGTCAGAAGTGCGGGAGGGTGAGAGAATTAATTCTCCAGAGCGGAGAACAGAATAGGCAGAGTAATGAAATACACTGCTGAGGGGAGCAGCGGGCACGACAGGAGAGGTCTGTCGCGCCATGTGGGACCCTCGCTGATGGCTGGGGATGGAACCGGTGCTGCAGAGGCTGCGGGCAGCTTCGCAGCCCAGCTCTCAACCGCTGTGCCACCAGGGGAGGCCCTGCCTTGTTTTTCTTGAGCTGTGTAAGCTCTTTGTAGATCTTGGCTATCAGTCCCTTGTCAATCATTTGCTGTGCAAATATTTTCCCATTCAGTGGGGTATCTCTTTGTGTTGATTAGTGTCTCCTTTTCTGTACAGAAGCTTTTAGTCTGATATAGACCCAGCTGTTCATCTTCCCCTTTGCTTTCCTTGCTTCTGGAGAAAAATCCTCAAAGAAGTTTCTGAGGTTTATGTCGTGGAGTGTTTTGCCCATGTTTTCTTCTATGTAATTTATGGTATCAGGTCTTACATTCATGCCTCTTATCCATTTGGAGTTGATTTTTGTGTATAGAGTGAGATAGTAGTCTAGTTTCATTCTTTTGCATATTGCAGTCCAGTTTTCCCAGCACCATTTATTGAGGAAGCTTTCCTTGTTCTAGATCCTTTATTGTAGATTAGGTGACCATATATGTGTGGTTTTATTTCTGGGCTTTCAATTCAATTCCATTGGTCTGTTAGTTTGTTTTTGTTCCAATACCATGCTGTTTTTATTATAACGGCTTTGTAGTATTATTTGAAGGCAGAGTGTAATACCTCCAGAATGAGGACTTTTAACTCCAATTTCTTTCTGTGACAGTCTCAGACTTTCTCTGAAATTAGGGACTTGTGGGGCATACTTCATAATGTGCAGTGATGCAGAAATAGTTTAAGATTCTAGAATGAGGCAATTTTCCATATTTAAATTATATCCTACAAAAGAACTTTAGGGGGATTTACCAATTCATCTTTTTAAATCACTGGTTTTAGTTGTATTTCAGGTTATTTGCAAAAGGTGAATACTATTACCCACTGGTCCCTATGCAGAAGTCTGATTCTTAATTATTTTGCTAGCATATGCCCAATCCTTTGCATTTTTATAAAAATAAATGGGTTCAATATCTTTCTTTTACATGGAATATGGTTTGATTAGATATGTTAAGTATTTTTTTCAAGAGACTAACAAAAACCTTTTATAACAAAGTCTGCAAGCACCAAAGCCTTTTCTTAATAGGAAATAAGCCAGGAGAATGATGTTTGTTGGCCCTCCTTCCCCAAAATAGGTGGGGTTAAAGGAAAAAAGGAATTCAGTTAGCATTGTTTTAAGATTTACAAAACAATATAAAATGATCAATTCCACTGAAAATCTAAATGTTTAAGTATAAAGATGTTGGTGAGAAGATTTATTACTTACTGCTTTTCTCAGTGTCCTAAAATACATATTTCTGTCAATTTCCAATGTATTTTTAAAGGTAAGAGATGGAAATATCACCTTAATTTTCTCTGACCTTTTTATCTGTTCAATTCTCTTTTTAGATATGTAAAGAGCTATTTGTTACCAGACAAGGACAAAATGGGCAAGAAGAAAACAGCTGTAGCGAAGAAAACTTTGAATCCTGTGTATAACGAGATCCTACGGGTATCTATGAACTAACTCTCTGGGAAAATCCTACATGTGACCTATGCATTTAAGTAGCTGTCTTAAGAGACTGGGTAGTGTCTCTACGGATGAAATCTTTCACCAAGAGAGAAGGAAGAAATAAATGTTTTCTGAGAATCTGCTTTGTATGAAACTTAACGCTGTGAATGTGGTATACATTATCTCATTCACTCCCTAGCTGCATCTCACAGATGAGGCAAATGAAACTTAGAAAAATAAAGTAACTTGTTCAGTTTACACAGCTGATAAAGTTGAGCATTGCTACCAAGATGAAAAGCACTATTCTGATCATGTTATTTCTCTGCTTAATCTCTTTTAGGATTCCTTTACCTTTAGGGTCAAGTCCATCCTTGTTTCCATCCATCCCTTCACAACTTGAGCTCCAGCTCATGTTTCCATTTCATTGTTTTTGTCCAGTCTGACTCCTTTCTGTTCCTTGGAGGAACTACCTTTTCTCACACTGCTAGGACTTTGTTCCTTGAAGCTGGAACATTCTTCCCCATAGTCTCATTAACATGCTTCTTCCTGTGATAAGTTGTCATAACCTTTTAGTTCCCCTGCCATCTGCAACATCAGTCATCTTATTTCAGCATAGGGTAGATTAGCACTCAGCACTTAACAGGTAGTTTAACTGTCTGCTTTCCCACTAAATTGTAAATTCTGTGAGGGCAAGGGACCAACTCTTATTTATAAGCATTATACCCTTAAGTTAGTGACCTTACCTGTCTGTACTTGAAATCTGCAAAAGAGAGATAATAATAATACCTACCTACCTCAGTACTGTGGACATCAAAGAGTTAATATGTGTGAAGTCATCAGCATATATTAAATACTTAGTAAGTGTTGACACTTGTACAGTGTCTGGCGTGGATTCAAAATAGGAAAGACAGGTAGTTGAACAGCTAAATACAAAGTATGTTTGGCTCAAATACGCATATTATGTCCCAAACTGCATCACGCTGAAAATTTAAAACCAAAAATATAAGAAGTGTTATTCATTCCCTCTTTCTGAAAATTCCATCCAAGTATTTTATTTGATTATCTTTGGAGGAAAGAAGCAACAGTTAAACTAGCTCTCACTCATCGATGGGTAAATTTTCTGTAGCAAGTATTTAATTACAGTTTGACTATGCTATATCCCAGCACCCCAGTTATTACTACTTCAACCCTGTATTCAAGAAATGCCAACTGATTTAAATGGTAAACTCAGAGAAAGGCAAGTCTGCTCTAACCAAAATGGATATTCAAGTAGTACATCAAATAGAGATTATTTTTAGATTAGAAGTATCATTATCCTTTTCATGATTATATGTAATCATGGATTGCCTACATTTAAGATGAAAAATTGTTAGGACGCCAAATATTTTCAACTTTTCCACATGAAGTAGGAAAAAACAAGTATTTTTCTTTGTAAAATACTTGCCCACGCAGGATATTGATAGCGGGAGAGGTTGTATGTGGAGGCAGGTGGTGTATGGAACTCTGTATCTTCCCCTCAATTTTTTATGAAACTAAAATTGCTGTAAAAAGCAAGTCCATTAAAAAACACTTTGTTCTTGGATAGAAAATAGATCATTAGATTAAGCTTCATTTGTATTTTCAAATTAAATTAAATTTGATTTATGTTGTAGATAGGTGTGTTGATAGAATTGACTTACAGTTAAATATAGAACTATTAAAAGCCTACCGAGTAAAAAAGTGAATAATTGGCTTTGTTTTTAGCAATCTATTACTGCTATGATACGATCTATTAGCTATGATATTTGATCCCCAGTTGGCTTCGCACAAGGGAAAAAGAAATCCGTTTTGTGAAAGATGGATTTTAGCTCTTTGAAACAAGATACTTAGAATATGGTGACTTTGCAATATTCCTGAGACTTGAAACCTAACAGATGAGAATATCTCATCCACAAAGATGACTTTTATTTTTTTCACTTTTCATGTCTGTGTCAAAATTTTGACATAAAGTAATATTATTTACCACTTGAATTTCCTTCTTTGACCTGCAGTATAAAATCGAAAAGCAAATTTTAAAGACACAGAAGCTGAATCTCTCCGTTTGGCATCGGGATACTTTTAAGCGCAATACCTTTCTAGGGGAAGTGGAACTTGATTTGGAAACTTGGGACTGGGAGAACAAACAGAACAAACAGTTGACGTGGTACCCCCTGAAGCAAAAGGTGAGTCTGGAGTTTTTTGGTTGGTTGGTTTGGAGTCTCGTAAAGGAAAAAGCTACTATTAAATTGCACTTTAATTCAGAATGCTTATCCATATTGTGGGACTATGTATCTTTTCACTCTGTCCGTGTTTCTCATGTCTTTTTTCCCGTTTCTGTGCTTCAGCTGCTTGTTTTTTGCTAACCCATCTTCAGTTCAGTCATTTTCTCATCTGCTGTGTCTAATCTGTTACACCCATCTATTGGTTCTCAGTAATTATACTTTACAGATCTATATTTTTATTTGATTCTTTTTATAATAAAGGTTCTACTTCTCTGCTAATGTTTTCCATCTTAATATTATCTTTATGAATATATTAATCAGTTATTTAACATGTGTATCTGAAAATTCTAATATCTTAAAGTTTTATAGGTCTCTTGTCTTTTCATATAATTTATATTTTTTAATATACTTGTTATATAATTTACAAAATTATACTAAATTAGAAATGTAATTGGAAATTATGTTTATTCAAGTATTAACCTACAGCACTGTGTGTGACTTAGAGGTATAGTTTCCCACCTCTCTGAATGTCTGGTACCATACCATGCCCACTGCTAATACCTAATAATGTACCATAATCCCTTGGGTGACTTTCCCCTTCTTAGCTATTTTTTTAATCTTAGTTTGGTAATTTTATCCTTTATCCTGATATGCCTGCTCGTTTTATTACATGCTGGACATTTGTCTATGAAAAATTCTAAAGATAGTTTGAGAGGATTTACTGTTTCTTTTGACACACAGAGTCCCTCTCCCGCCTCCTCCCCTGCATGATGTCTCTGATTTATAATTGTCTGTTTTTGCTTTGCTGTGTTTTGTACTGTTATTATTTTTTTACACTGATGTCTTATTTGGTTCCCCTATATTCCTGCTACAAATGAAACCATCTGATATTTTTCTTTTTCCTTCTGATGTATTTCACTGAGCATAATTCTTTCCAGCTCCATCCACGTTGCTGCGAATGGCATGAGTTTATCTTTTTTGATTGCTGAGTAATATTCCATTGTGTATATGTACCACATCTTCTTGATCCAGTCATCTATTTTTGGGCATTTGGGTTGTCTCCAGGTTTTATCTATTGTAAATAGTGCTGCAATAAACATAGGGGTAGAAGAGGCATTTTTAGTAAGTTCCCAGGCATTGCTGATGCTGGCCTAGGTACCATACTTTGAAAACCACTGACTTAGGGTATTTTCTAAGACCATTCTTCCTTACCTGCCCACAATCCTGCCTCATGAGAAAGCCAAAAGTCCTGCTAAACTTCTTATTCTCTTTCTGCTGGGAATTTTTTGCTTTCAGTTTGGGTCTACTGAAAAATCAGCTAGCGCCTCTAAGTAAAAAGCAGAGAAGAATATCAGTCTCCAAGATCTTGCCCATTTGAGTCCTATCATAATAATTATAGGTTTAAAAATTTTTTTTTGATCTAGGTTTTTCGTTCTCAATGTGCGGGTCAGTGTGATCCTAGCTAGTCGATCATAGCTGGAAGTGATAAACACAAACAATTGATAAAAACTTCATTTAAATCTCCATGATCATAATCTTAAGAAATGATTCCCAAATATTGCATCCAAATCATTTGAAGCACTAACACTTCTCAATTACTTGTTGGATAGAATTGCTCAGAGGATGTCCATAGAATCTCATTTTTAGGGCCTCCCCGGTGGCGCATTGGTTGAGCGCTGGGTTGCGAAGCTGCCCGCAGCCTCTGCAGCGTCAGTTCAATCCCCGGCTACCAGGCGAGGGTCCCACATGGCGCGCAGACTCTCCTGCCGCCCACTGCTCCCCTCAGCAGTGTACTTCTTCAGTCTGCCTGTTCTGTTCCCCACTCTGGCTCTGTGAATTCTCTCACCCTCCCATGCTTCTGACTGTACCCAGTGCTTGTATAAATAAATAAATAAATCTTTAAAAAAAAAATCTCATTTTTAACTAGTTTTTCTTGTGCTACTAATGCATAGCAACGTTTTAGATATAAAACTGTAAAGGGGAAGAGTTTGAAAGTAAAACTATCTCTCTTATACTTGAAAATAATAAGTATTTTAAAATAATTGTCCAGCTCTTTTGTGTGTGTTTTGTTTTTAACAGATATTTACCCATTTGTTCTAAAATAATTAGGTTAACACAACTTTGAAAAATGTCACATTTGACTCTCTCGACCCCCATTCCACCCCTCTTTACTTCTTCAGAGAAAGATAAGACAAATAAATTGCTTTTACGCTGGCTGAATGACTAAAAAAAAGAAAATAACATCCCAGGCCACCTCTAATGCCTCCATTATCTTTGAGACTAAAGATTTTTAAATGTTTTCTGAGTTTTCCAAGATGCACACTATAGTTCTGCAAGATATAAAAGCAATGGTCAAGCTCTGATGGGGAGGGAATTAATCCAGGGTGCTCAGGAGTAACTTACAGCCCTAGAAATGGGGAAGGTATGGCCCTTAACAGAGTGCTAGCAAATAGGGTAAATGGTTTATGCCTTATACCTCCTGACAATCCTTTATTTTCCAGACAGCACCCGTTGTCCTTGAAGCAGAAAACAGAGGTGAAATGAAGTTAGCTCTCCAGTACATTCCAGAGCCAAACCCTGGTATGTAATGATTTTCTGTACAGATCTGTGCCCTCTTCTTACCCTTTCCCTCTCCAAAGATTTCTTAAGGTTGATTGATATTTTCAAAGGCAGGAAATTCCTAAACAAGCTTCTTAACCTAGTAATTGTACAGCCCAAATGAGTCAATATTTTTTATTATTTTTTAAAAAATTTATTTATTTATGCATACAAGAGCTGGAGTACAGGCCAGAAATGCGGGGGATGAGAAGATCACCAGAGACAGAGTGGGGAACAGGACAGACAGACTGACTGAAATACACTGCTGAGGGGAGCAGCGGGCGAGACAGGAGAGGTCTGCTGCGTTGTGTGGGTCACTTCCCTGGCCTGGGATCGAACTTGTGCTGCAGTGATTATGGCTAGCTTCGCAATGCTGTGTCTCAACCCCTTGTGCCAACCAGAGAGGCCCAACTCAGTTTTAAACTAGAACATTCACATTATTTTGTGCAGTAAAGAATATAACAAAATGTACTGTATATGATTTAGTGGTAAAGGTGTACTTTTAGTAATGTTAAGTATATTTACCTTTTTGAAGCAGATATTTTCATTTTGCAAATACAAAACTCTATACCATTGAACAATTCCCCTGCTCTCCCTAACCCCAGGTCCTGGAAACCACCATTCTATTATCTATGAGAAAAACTCTCATTTTTTTCCAGTCTACCTTATAGTCCTTATTTGTGTTGTTGTTTGTTTCCCTGTTTTTATTTTTATTTTTTTAATTGAGATAACACTGGTTAACAACACTGTATATAATTTAGGGGAACAGTTTCATATCTCCTTAGATGCATGTTACCATACTACACCCACCCCAAAGCCCCCACAATCCTCCACCATAATCCACTGGACCCTAGGCCCCCTCTCTCCCCTCCTCGTAGTGTCGTTCTGCAGTCAGATTTCTAGGATTTGTTTTGGTTCGACTTTGTCAGTTCCATTGTTTTGTTTCACTATATTTCACATGAGTGAAATCAGCCAGTGTTTGTCTTTCTCCTTCTGTATATTTCTTCTTGTTTTATCTTTCACTTCACTTTCAAAGAGTTTATATCTACACATTGTGAATGACACTTCCTGTATTTAGAATTTGGACCTATACCTGTACCCCTATGTTTATAGCAGCACTATTTAGAATAGGTAAGCTTTGGAAACAACCCAAATGCCCCAAAATAAATGACTGGGTCAAGAACATGTGGTACATATACACCATGGAATATTACTCAGCAAACAAAAAAGACAAACTCATGCAATTTGCAGCAACATGGATGGGCTGGAAGGGATCGTGCTCAGCGAAATAAGCCAGAAAGAAAAAGAAAAATACGGGATGGTTTCACTTGTAGAAGAAATGTAGAGGATCCAAATAAGGGATCAGGAGAAAAAAAGGCATACATGGTGAAAAAAAAAAATGAAGAACGATATACGAAATATATAAAATAAAAATAGAATTTGGACCTATTGGCAGCACCGTGATAAGACTGTTCTTTTCATAGGTGGGAATTGGAAAGTTTCATTTAAAGCTCCTAAAAAATTAGAGCTCATTAGTCCTCCAATCACAAGGTCTCACTGGGAAAGAAAACTTTTCCCTCAAGGTCACTAACTGCATTCTTGATGTTAATACCCCAGGTCTGACTGGAAATGTTCAGTTCTGTGTGCATGACTATTAATCAGGGGAAGGGGAGGGAGAAGGTTCAAAACAGGGGAGGGAAAAACACAAGTTCTATGGTGCTAGGTGATGGTGCACGGGTAAATTAGTATTTGGAATTTTTATGGGGACTATACCTAAGAGGAGAAAGAATGCATTGTACAAAAAAAGGAAGAATGATGTAAAATATATATATATAAAATAGGAAATTTTTTTTAAAAGTAAATAAAAAAAACAAAAAACTGGTTGTGCCAGGCCCATACTGTCCACCCCAGCATTGCTGGTTGGCTTGCTCTGGGCCTTGTCTCTCTAATAAAAGCTTCTTTAATCACCCCTACCCCCCAAAAAAGACTGTATGCATGTAGTGACTGAAGTCTGTTGTTACAAACTTGGTAACTTTCAGTAACTAGGCACTGGAGCTAGTGGGATGTGAGAAATAATGGCTAGTGTGGGTAGTGACTAGAATGGTATTCTAATTCAATTTTTAAAAGTTGCAGGGAAAGCAAAGCAGGTCTTTAGGCCAGGTGGCTGCTAAACAACCATCATGTTACTTCAAGATCTTCCTAAAAGGCAAATTCTTTTAGTACATAACTTGTATTCTATCATTTATAGTAAACATGCATAGAAATTCTTCCACTCTCATTTCCCAGTTTGCCTACTGTCATTTCTTGGTTGTAGGGGCTACGCATAGTGTGTATTGTGATGGGCTCCACCTTGTCTGAGTCAGAGATCATGTATTTTCTACTCCGTAATGGCCGCCTCTTCTCAGCCTATCCAAGTCTTAGATGAAGTGCTTCTACCTTTTCCATAAAGCTTTTCCAGACTGTATTTACCCATTCTGGTCACATCATGTTATAGTAATAACTTGGCAATTCATTTTATATTTTTTTTATTTGAATTACTCTCTCTAGCTTAACTATAAACATTTCCTAAGGACATGAATTTCTTGTATTCCTTATATACTCTGTAACAATCCTGGCATCAGGATTGAGCACATAACTGAGCTCATTAAATAATGGTGGGTGATAGCTGGGTTAACCCATTTTTGAAAAAATGGTAGTATTCCTCTGTTCATATGCACTCAGCCCAGAAAACAGCTTTACACTCTGTCAGCTCAGTAATTTCCTGCCCATAATTTTAGCTATTAAATGTTTAACCACTTTTAACAAGAGCCAGTACCTATTTGCTTATTTTCTGCTTAAATCTTGTCTAAAATGCCTCCCATAATTCATTGAGGTGTTTTGAATATAACTATAAATGGATGATTCACTTAGCTGATATGTATATTTGATTTTGCTGAACTGAGCAAAACCCAAAAAGAATGATGTAATACTCTCTACTTGGAATCAATACATATTATTTTCATAGAGTTATCTGAGTTCAGTACAACCAGACTATGAAACATAAGAATGTGTAGATTTAGCAGTTAGGATCATATATGTTTATGTACTACCTCATATCACAGCACAGGACCATTTTAGGTCGGCACTTCTGGATATAATAGTAAGAGAGGAATGGCAGTGAAAAAATGTACTTTCTCGCTTTTTTTTGTCACAGGTAAAAAGTTTCCTGCAACTGGAGAAGTGCACATCTGGGTGAAGGAATGCCTCGATCTACCACTACTAAGGGGCAGCCATCTAAATTCTTTTGTCAAATGGTAAGACAATTGATAAGCTTGCCTCCCTCATTCGGGAGCAGGCTGGCCTCTGCTGGTTGTTTCAGTTCTCTGTGATACTGAAACTCATCATTCATCGTTTAAATGAAATAATTTGGGGCAATGATAACGTGAATTAGAAAGACCTGTGACATAAACCCCCAAGACTTCATTCAGTTGTAAAACCATAAAGATACAAATGAAAGCAGAGCCTTCATACTTAGATATATAATGCCATATTTTCTAGGCAGTACATCTGCTGATGAGAACCTTATTCAGTATAAGGAGTGGATCAAATTTAATGCTGGACTGCCACGCTCCTCAGTTCCCTAGAGGGGAGGAAGAGAGTTCTTTTTTTTGTTCTTTGTCCCATGTTTATTTTTGACCATTTGCAAGAGGCCTTTTGCACCATCTTGCAAATATATGGAAAATTATTTGCTAAGCAGATCCCTACTAATTATTAGCTCAAAAGAGCTTAAGACAATATCGGATGGTTTCACTTGAAGGAGGAATATAGGGGAACCAAATAAGACATCAGGGGAAAAATAATTACAATACAAAAGAGCTTAAGACAGTTTGGATTTTAAGAGGTAAGGTTTTTTTTTTCCTGTTACGCATATAAATGTCTGGTATCTAGTAAATACTATATAAATAGATATTAGTGTGTAATCCTAACTCCCTCTGAAATATTTTATTTACATAGGATCAGGTTTTTTCCTTATACCGCATACTTCTTTGCAGAAGTCTGCTAATAAGATTTTTCAGCTCAGGTCAATCTCCTGTTCTATGACCCTTGCAGATCTTTTTGCCTCTCTAGATGAAGTATGGCAGGTTAAATTCATTATTATCATAAATATAATGTAATGGTTGCCAATATATAATTTATTCCTAAAGTCAAATTAGCACATTCCAGAGGTTTTCTTTCTCAAGTCTGTACCACACTAATTTCTTAGGCTTTACAGATAGTCAAGAATAGACCATGCTTCCAAATTTTAAAGGAATCCTCAAGAAAGTTCTACCATGGTAAGCACTGAATTAGATGTAAGTATTGAAACAAGTCATTTGCTTAATGTGTAATTATAAAATTAACCTTAGGAGGCAGACATCATTGGCCCCTTTTTGTAGACGAAGAAGCAAGTATTTGAAAGGTTAAGTAACTTTCCCTATAATGCAGCGCCAATAAGTGGCAGAGTCAGGATTCAAAGCAAGCCTGGTCTATTTGCCATACAGAGTTTCTCCCATAGGAGGCCCCCACCACCACCACCAAAGCTCTCTCTTTTTTCTTCCTTTGCCAATCCCCAGGATCTGTGTTGAATTGCACTGAAAGCATAAATGTTCAAATGTCCACTGTCATTAAAATGGTCTCTCCATGATCTTTTCTTTTATAGCACCATCCTTCCTGATACGAGTAGGAAAAGTCGCCAAAAAACAAGAGCTGTAGGGAGAACCACCAACCCTGTCTTCAACCACACCATGGTGTACGATGGGTTCAGGCCTGAAGATCTGATGGAAGCCTGTATAGAGCTTACTGTCTGGGACCATTACAAATTAACTAGCCAGTTTTTGGGAGGTCTTCGGATTGGTTTTGGGACAGGTAACATTTGCTCCACTTTTAACTCTCTATGGGCCAAAGTCTTCTAAAATTTTAGAGGTTTGTTTGTGTGTTGCTCTGCTTCTTCCTAATGAAAACAGATATTCTATTTCTGCTACCTATAATGAAATGAACAGGTAAGAGAATGTCAGGCTGTGTGCTACAAACTCCAAATGTGAAAATTAATAGGATGCTGTGTCAGTCCGCACAGAGCTTAAGGTATTGTAGAGGAAATTGAAAAGCCTTCATTGCTTCTCATTCCTGAAAAAAACAACTTTGGCCCTTGAAGAGTAAAAGACTAAAAGACTAAAAGTATGTTTTCAACCATAGCAATCTTTAAAGTAACTAACATTTATGGAGCACTAGTCACTGTACTGATTGCTTTGTTTGCATTGTTTCAATTAATCCTCACAGCAGCTCTCTCAGTAGTTACTAATGTTATCCCTAGGGGAACTGCTGTTCCATGAAATTAAGTAACAGAACTAATGGTGGCAGAGCCCAGATTCAAATTCGAGTCTGTTAGATACTAAAGACTTAACTGCACTTCCTTAGAGATGATCCAGTGTCACTTCCAAACCAATGGAGGAATCCACCCCACTGCTCCCCTATGCTTGGAACAGATTGTTCTCTAGTTTTTATGTTAACATGAAGAGAAATCATGACTTTGGAAGTAAAGGCAATAATCTCAATTATGGAGCATCCCATTATCAGACATTTCAGATGATTAAACAATTCTGTCTTATGTTGAGTCCTGTATCTGCCCTCCTGTTGATGTTAAAACTCTTCTTAATTGCCTTCTTGAGTGATTATAATCAGGAAATGACTCATTCCCCCTCTTCTCTCCCCCACCCCCAAACTGAGGTATTCCTTTCTAAATGCATAGCTTCCCTTTTTTGCAGGCAAAAGCTATGGTACTGAAGTGGATTGGATGGACTCTACTTCCGAAGAAGTTGCTCTTTGGGAGAAGATGGTAAACTCCCCCAACACTTGGATTGAAGCAACCCTGCCACTCAGAATGCTGCAGATTGCCAAGATTTCCAAGTGAACCCAAAGTCCACTGACTCCTCTACTGGAAACAACTAAATAGGTGGATCTGATATGAAAATCTGACTACAGACAGAGATTCTTCCCTTCTCTCTCTTGCTACAAATGAATGCTACACAGCATGGGAAAGTCAGCCTACATGTGTTTCTCTGGCCATAAGGCATAAGAGATTGAAATAATAACAAAAAGTGTAACTTATTTGGAATTGCAACATTAGAAAGGTTTTTGGGGAAAATAAGAAACTTTAACTGTTGCAGCTGCTTCAAGGAAAAAAGCTGCCAAATGTGGGATGCTGTAAACCAGTAAATTATTGTAGTTTGTGACCATGCATTTACACTACAATCTAGTGCACAGTTAATAGGCTGCCAATTGATCACTGAAAACCCTTGCAGGAACTGAAAATGTATAAGTTGTGGAAAACAGTGACAGAAAGATATTCCTACAAAAGAGGGGTGGGGAGAGGCGACTGTCATTGACAGTAAAGAATTTGACCATAAGAAAACTATTTACTCTCTAATCTATGTTAAAACATGGAATTCCATATTAAGGCAATGAGACTAAATTTACAGCATGCATTTCTGCCTTCAGAAACTGCGTTCTCCCTTTCCCAGTGTTAAACAGAAGTCTTAAATGTGCTTTGGTGCCACCCATTGGCCATAGATGGAATCCAGCTTGTGGCTTAATGTTCTCCTAAAATAGATGTGTCAGCCTGTATTTTATAATAGAGTATATGTGTATATATATATATATGAAAAAAACCACAAAAACCTTGCATATATAAGGCTCTGTATTTCTTAGAACTCTACAAAAGCAGCATGAGAGTTGTCACAGACATGCTTTGCAACAAAGTTTAATTAAAATGCTAATTGTTAAATTTATACTATACTTCCTATGTTATAAGTTTCATATTTTGTAAAAACCCTTAGTCAAAATAAATTACCATGATTTAACTAGGGTGGCAAATTAACCTGACTTCTGATTTTTTAATTTTTTAAAGATTTATTTATTTATGCATACAAGAGCTGGGATACAGGCCAGAGGTCTGGGGGCGTGGAAGGGATTCACCAGAGACAGAGCGGGGAACAGAACAGGCAGACTGACTGAAATACACTGCTGAGGGGAGCAGCGGGCGAGACAGGAGAGGTCTGCTGCACCATGTGGGTAGCTCCCTGGCCGGGGATCGAACTCGTGCTGCAGAGGCTTCGGATTACGTCATAGTGCGGTGTTTAACCCGTTGCACCACCAGGGAGGCCCCTGACTTCTAATTTTAAAAGAAAACTCTACATTAGGAATCCTGAAACCTAAATTCCCTAACAAGGGTAAAGAACTACTACTCGGCTTATATTTTCTCCAGAATCTTTCTTGCAACTCTGAGTATAATTTCCTCTAAGTGGGAAGCTCTAGCTATGCTATTGAGAATAGTACAATGTTTTATTTTTATAATATAATTCAAGGGCTTTGAAGATAAGTCAACAGTTACCTTTGAAAGATTTTTGGGTCATAATACACACAATATTTCTCTCTCTAAGAACCCAACCAGATTGCCTTTCTCAAAACAAGCACTAATCTGATGTAGGTTAGCAGTCTAAATGGTGGGGGAATGGGATCTTATAACAGACAGCTAAACAAATGTCAATGGAAGCAACTAGATGCTTCTTCCTGTAAACAGATGCTACAATCTTCTACGTCTTGCAGGTAAGAGCCCTCAACAAGAAAATGACTCTTCCCATTGTGTTTAGCAGTGTTTCCTCTTACTGCTATTCTTTTATTTTTTTATTGAAGTCACATAATATTTTATAAATTTCAGGTGAGTGTCATTATAAATCAATGCCTGCACCCAACATTAAGTTTACCACTATCCTCAGCCTACTAGCATCCCCCTAGCCTACTCCCATCCCAGACCTCTCACCCTCCACATGCAGGAGTGGATTATAAAACCACCCTCTTTGCATGTGCCCACAGCACACTGCCTCAGGATGTCCAAGGGGGTTTCATGTCACATTTTTTCTAAAAGAGAAAATAAAAATTGTAAATTTAATCTCACTTAACTACAAAAGGAAAATTAAGTGGAACTTCTATGCATTATATAGTATAAACAACCTCAATTCTTTAATGAATTAAAGTTGACAGACATTTTTAAAAAAAGATTTATTTATGCATTCACAAACGGGTCTAGGCCTGAGGGGGTGGGGGGTGAGAGGACTCACCAGAGACAGAGTCGGGAACAGAAGAGGCAGACTGACTGAAATACACTGCTGAGGGGAGCAGCGGGCGAGACAGGAGAGGTCTGCTGCGCCATGTGGGTTGCTCCCTGGCCAGGGATGGAGCTCATGCCACAGTGACTGGTGATAGCTCGATAGCACTGTGACATAATACCTGTGCCACCAGGGAGGCCCCTCAAGTTGACAGACTTGAATCAGGGGGATTTTTAGGCAGTCTCTTAAAATTTTGATACATATTTTCTTACATTGGTACCTTTCCTTGAACTCCATGTTTTAGGGCTTTTTTTCATTGTTTAAGCCAGAAACCCACCTAGAAATAATCAAAAAATGGTAGACATGTTAGAAATATACTGGGTTAACACACAATTAGAGTAGTACCACAAGAACCTAGGTTATGTCAGGGACTTGTAGCCTAAAACCAGGAACTCAATGCTCTGTTCATCAGGGGTAGAAAACAGTACCAGAGGTGGATAGAGAAAAGTCTACAATTGGCCCCATCTGCATTACGTGCCTTCTTTCTGACTGGGAAGAAGTGATGCAGTATCAGAAAAATGCAATTTTTATGTACATATGGACACTGGTGCGATCAAGAGGTGGGAAGTCACTCAGTATGTGTCTCCTTGAAGTGAAAATACTTCAGAATTCACACAATGGAATATTACTCCACAATCAAAAAAGATAAACTCATGCCATTCACAGCAACGTGGATGGAGCGGGAAGGAATTATGCTCAGTGAAATAAGCCAGAAGGAAAAAGAAAAATATCAGATGGTTTCACTTATAGCAGGAATAAAGGAGAACCAAATAAGACATCAGGGGAAAAAATAACAGTACAAAACACAACAAAGCAAAAATAGACAATTATAAATCAGAGACATCCTGCAGGGGAGGAGGCGGGAGAGGGATCAGAGGGAGGAAGGGAGGAGCACAGGGGCCTGAGGTGATGGTGCACGGGTGCCTTGGGGAAGGAAACTCTATGGGGACTACACCTGAGGGGGTGGGGAGAAGCAAATATTGTTTACAAATGAACAATGATATAAAAATTTTTTTAAAAAGTAGTATTTCAAAGAGTCACTCCCAACTATTTCCAAAGAAACCTAAATTTCCCCATCCACCATGACTGTTGCAGCTTCTAAGTGGGTGATAAGAATCTTGGGACCCCATGACCTGCCCAACTGGCCTAGGAGTCCACCAAAGCCTGCTCACTGGTGCCCTGGTCTAACGCCTTCCAGAGAGGCTTAGCTTTGTACACCAGGGAACTTGCTAGGACTTTTCTGCACATCTCTGGCATCCATACACACCAAAAAACACCTGAACATCTTCCTTCTCTGGACCCTTGTGGCTAGTCTGTTTCAGGATTGCTCTTCCATCCCCCATTTTCTTTATCCCTTAGTTTTCATAACATTAAGATGATTCTAAATTTTAAGTTTTTTATCTTGTATTTTTTTTTAGTTGCCTCTAACTAAAGCAATTTCCATGTCATTAAAGTACCTGTGTGAAGATGATAATGTTTAATGGCTGCATATTCTGTTGTATGAAAATATAATTTTCTTAACATTCTTTTTTGGACCTTTACATTTCCAACATTTAGTTGTTATAAACCATACTACGATGAAAAATGTTGAGCAAAACATCTTTTTTTCCAGATTAGTCCTGGAACAAAGATCTCCCCAGAAAGACAATTATTAGTTCAATATTTACAATATATACTATATCCTAAGTTCCCAATACATGCTGTTACTGTGTTTCATCAACACTTTTTCATTATATCCTTCCCGGTCCTGGATATTCTTTTTTTATGTTTAATATATTTTTTTTTTATAAAATTCTTACATCATTTTCATTTTGGTTATATTCCCCATACAATTGCACCCCCCTTATTTTGACCCTAATTCCTCCCCCCTCTTCCTCTCCCCACCCTCCCCATAGTGTGTCTCTGGTTTATAGTTGCTTATTGATTTTGATTTTTGTCTTTATTATCATTAGTCTTTTTCCTGGTCCCTTACTTAGGTTTTCTAGATTCCTGCTGTGAGTGAGACCATCCGGTATTTTTCTTTATCTTTCTGGCTTATTTCACGGTGCATGATCCCTTCCAGTTCCTGATACCTGAGAATTATATCTAAGAAATTTTTCTAATATAAGTAATTTGATAGAAGAAATGTTATCTAAATGACACTTAATTTGAGATGGTCAATGAAGTCAAATTTCTTAAGCTAAGAAGGTCTTTCTTGTTCCAGAGATTTGATGCTTACCTTTAATTTCTTCTAGTTTCCATCTTTACTACTTTGCTTTTATTGCACTTTACATCTAACTCATTTGGAATTGACTTTGGTATATGAGGGTAAGCCTCATTTGGATCGCTTTCTCTTTTAATGTTTATATTATTGTTCATTAAATTTCTGTTATCATTTTTGCTAGTGGGTAAAAACAAGGAGTGCTGAATTTCTAATAAAATATATTCCCAGCTGGGGACAAAGCTGAGAGAAACAAATGACATTTCAGTAGGATTTGCTCTTTTACTGAGCTACGTGGAACACACAGCTACCAACTCAGCTGTTAGGGTCCTGACTCTGAAAGTACAACCACTACTTTGCATACTACAGAAATACAACGTGGTTCTACAAAGCAGCGGTGGTACAGATTGCTACAGTGATGTATTCTCATGGCAGCTGACATGGAGGGAGGAGGAGGAGGAATTTGTCACCATCAGCTTGATTTGTTTACTCCTACCAGACCTTAGGTGGGGCAAGCTTTCTTCCCCTCCTGCTGGCTAGAAACCAAGAAGGGTTGGCATCTTTCCTCTGTACAGTACCGGCCAGACACTGGCTGGTGAGCTAAGGGTTGTGCTTGGCTACAAGGGCAAGCACCACATGACCAGACCGGCTGTGGGCTCCCCGCAGGCCCCTTGTTGTTACTTCACCGCATTCTAAGGGTGGCCCTCCAATCACAGGGCGCCTTACTGGGGAACCCAACTGCGGGGCTGTGCCAGGAGTCCCTAGCAACACCGTGGCTTTTGAGATCTGAGGAGGAAAAGACTGTGGTCAGTGGACAGTGCAGGAGAGTGCCTATGCCCCAGGAAGAGCAGGCGCTCGGGATGGACACTCCACCCATTAAAGAAGCCTTGGAGAAGAAGCAAAATGAAAAGCTAAAACACGAGGAAGAAGAGATGGAGTTTAAGGAACTGGATGGTCTGAAGGAAGCTTTGGCAAACCTCCGGGGACTGTCCCAAGAGGAGAAGAGCGAGAAAGCCATGCTTCGCTCCCGCATCCAGGAGCAGTCCCAGCTCATCTGCATTCTGAAGAGGAGGTCGGATGAGGCCTTAGAGCGCTGTCAGATCCTGGAGCTGCTCAACACAGAGCTCGAGGAGAAGAGGGCGCTGGCGGCTGAGAAGCTGAGGGCCAAGAGCGAGCATGCCCGGAAGCTGGAGGACCGTTTCCTGACCCTGGCAGCCAACCATGAGCTGATGATCCGCTTCAAGGATGAGCACAAGAGTCAGAATGTCAAATTGAGGGAGGAAAATGAGAAACTGAGGCTGGAGAATGACAGCCTCTTCAGCCAGGCTCTGAAGGACCAGGAGGCCAAAGTATTGCAGCTCACCTCCCGGAGTGAAGCTCTGGCCACCGAGCTGGAGACTCTGAAAAAGAGATGTGCTCAGGATGCCTGCCAAGCACTGGCCCGAGAGAAGGAGCTCCTGGAGCTGCAGAGCCAGCAGGCCTGTGCCCACACCAAAGAGACAGAACAGTTGCGCAGCCAGCTGCAGAGCCTCAAGCAGCAGCACCAGCAGGCAGTGGAGCAGATGGCCAAGGCTGAGGAGGCCCACAACAGCCTGAGCCAGGAGCTGCAGGCCAGGCTGCAGGCGGTCACTGGGGAGAAAGAGGAGCTGCTGCAGTTATCCATGGAGAGGGGGAAGGTGCTTCAGAGCAAGCAAGCGGAAATCCGCCAGCTTGAGGAGAAGTTGGAGACTGCAGATATGGCCAGAAGGCATGCCCTAGAGAGGTTTGAGTTAGAGGTAGTGGCAGTAGACAGCAACTTGAGAGTCCGCGAGCTTCAGCGCAGGGTGGATGGCATCCAGAAGGCCTATGATGAACTCAGGCTGCAGTCTGAAGCCTTCAAAAAGCACAGCCTGGATCTTTTAAGCAAGGAGAGAGAACTCAATGCCAAACTCCGCCATCTCTTTCCATAAGATGTTTCTGCTTCCTCTGACCTTTAATTCAAATATTTGTGCTTTAGTATTAATGGTGAGAGTAGAGATGGTATTCCATATATCACACTTTTAAGCACAAAAGGCAACTCAAAACTACTTTATTATACCGTTGTTACTATTGTAAGGCTAATGCTAACTTTCAGCCCTGTCACCTAGAATATACAATATTTACCAGATTTTCTCTGTTCTTGAAATGATCCGAAATTTGCTATCAGGATTTCCACTTCCCCCATAACTTACTCACTTTATCTTCAAATCTATTAAGATTTTAAATGAGCAGCTTCATTGATTTAGTTGAATCTTAAATGTGCAATGAGATGTGCTAATGTGAAAAAAAGAATCAGCACCATTAGCCCTTATGGCTAGGTAGGCTTAGAGTCTTCTGTATTTGAGATTGTAAGCTATGACAGTCAATAGCATAATAGCCTGTAGAACTCACAGGAAAAGGTGATTTTACAACTGACCAAACAATTGTGTGTTTCATCTCTTTTATCCAATATCCTTTTTATTTTATTTACACCAGCTTGGAAAAAAAAAAAAAGATTGAGATAATTAAATTCTTTACTAAAGTGGGAAAACTTCATTTTAGTCATTGTAAGCGTGTGATAAGATTCAAATAAGTGAAATAGCCTGTTTTTCTTTCTCCCACAATCTTAGATCACATTCAATTTTTTTTGTTTTCTCTTTAATAAAAACAAGATTTAGAGGTATTGTCATGCAAAGATCAATAACTCATTTAGTATTTCAAAATATGCCAATAGAGAAAAGCGCCCAATTTGGGGTAACGAGTCATAACAAATTGGGTATGATCCATATCGCAATTCATAGCAAATGTTTGTTTCTGTTAACATATTTTCTTGCAACTAACTTTTCCACCTTTTAAAAAAAATTTATAAACTGTATGTATTTATGTATACTTACAGAATTTTTGTAGGAATAGCTAACTATGTACTTATAAAGACACATAATAGTTATATATAAGTATATATATATTTAGGCAAAGCCCTTGCAGAAGTCATCATAAAAATATACTTTGTTTATTTCTGGTTTTAGTTATTGATATCCCAAAATGTTATAAATACTTGTCAAAATACTGTAATTTGTATATTTCTCACCCATTTGGTACTAAATACGAAGTAACCTAATAATTTGGATTTATTAAAAATATAACTTAGCACCTACTTAATAAACAGCTTTCAAGCAAAAATTGTCACTCAGATAATTTTTAAACCTATTTTCTCACAATTCCGCTAAGATTATGGTATCAAAAGCAAACTTTTCTCATCAAAACAGGAATCACATTTCTGGTTAGAAAAGACTATTTCCTTCTTCTTAGACATTACCAAGAGTCAGAATATTGGAGTTAATTTAATCATTGCTAGCCTTTATCGAATTCCTATTATTTATCATTGTGCTGAAACACTTCAGATAGTTTTATTTAACCTTGGGGCTATTTAAGAAGGTAATGTTCATTTCTATTTCAAAGAGAAATCTGAGATTTGATAATTTTCTCAAGGTCACCAGGTCATTGGCAGAATTAGGATTTGATGATAACACGACACTGAAAGATATGTTGGCTGTCCACTAAGTGCTCTGGAGGTGGCACTGAGAGCTTGTGGAAGCGTGTTTTATGCCCTGGAAGAGCTGTCATACCATCTAGTCTAAGGGCAAAAAGCAATTACATGCAGTGAGATTTGTTTGTACTGGGGGCGTTATGAGATCACAGCAGGTCACATACACACACACTCTAACTGCTGGGGGTAGGGGGTGAGTATTGGGACAGTAGGAAAGCAGCCAGGATAACTGACACAGGATGTAGAAGCTGGTTCTTACATAAGCAGTAGGATTTCATCAGATGGAGTTAGAGTTTGAGATATCATCTTAGAGAAATTCAAGGTTTTAAAAAATATATGTAGCATATGTGGGGAAATCATAAGCTGTTGGGCGGAGGTGCAGAGAACTACACCTACAGCCAGAACTGGAAGAGGAGGTTTTAGACAGACTATAGAGAGCCTCAAGAGCCAGAATAGTCCTTGCGTAGGGGAGTGAGGAGGAGAAGGGAAGAGTATAAACAGGAGACACAGACCAACCCGACTCCCCTTTCCGCACAGGATCAGGATGCTCAGCCAAGGGCTTGCTCCTGGCTGCCAGCACCCCTTCCTTTCCCTCACCTGCTAGCCCATACCACCCCTCCAGCCCTCAGCCTGTCCAATTCCAGCTGTCCTACCCCAAATAGCCAACTGTGGTGGTTTCTTTTCAAAATTTTGCACCCAGCCTGCAAGGAGAAAGCTCCTAGGCAGCGACCAAGTGAGCCCTGGAAGCAGGCCTTTTGGACAGGAATCCTGGGGTCCTGGTACTGCTAGGGCCTATTAAGGGGCTTTGCCCGGGAATTTCCTCCTCAGAAAGGGGGCGAGTGCACCTGGAAGAGCAATGGGATTGGATAATATAGGACAAGTACGCAAGGACTAAGTAAGCAAGGATTTAATAAGTAAGGAATTAATAAGTAAGCAAGGAATTAATAAATTAAGGGGACAAGGCACAGGTCCCCTAAAAAGTGAGTACAAGGGCTAGGTCCCAGTCACCTGGAACTAAGAAAAGTACTGCTCGTTGTAATGCTAAGGAATTTGTGTGAGGTTGAACCCTATGTTTAGTGGGCCCCAAATGCTCAGAGAGGGGTGATTTCACAAGGTTCCCTCTCGTACTCTTGAAAGATATTAAAAGGAACCTGGGTAGTTAAAATAGGACAATGATGGATGCCTAGAGAACAGCTGAGGAAAAGAACCCACAACACAGACTAGGAAAATAAAAGGAATATCCATCTGTCATGTTACCCTCATAGCAAGTACTTGAGACTCAATTGTCAGTGATTTTATTTTTTTTTATCCAGCATTTTATTGTAACAAATTATTGATGTTGAGTTTCTTTCACTGTGTTCATACATACAATTACGCTGGCTCTTGAATAATAATTAAAAATTAAATCTTAGTTTGCCTCATAGAACAATGTAGTATTCATAACAATTTGCCATAGCATTACAATTGTCAGTGATTTTACAGATGAAAAATGTGAGCCTCGGATAGGGTGACTTTGGGATGGAGAAGTGACCTTTGAACCTATGTACCTCTTGATGTGCCATTTGCGCAGGGACCCCAAATTAATCTGATGCTCCTCTGTCATTGCATTGGGGCACTCAGCAGTTGTTCAACTACCCCACATTTCCACTTTGTGCTGGGCACTGCAAATGATGTAGCTGGCCTGATTTCTGACCCTAAAGCCTGTGCTTTTTCCTATTATACAAACTACCTTCTTTTCCTTCCAGGTACAAAAAGGCATTGTTTTTATTTTTTCTTCTGGGTCTATGTTTGATTCCTGGAGGCTTATTCTCTTTCTGAGACTCCATGTTGCAGTCATCTTTTTCGATTCTATTGATTTACCATTCATTTACAAAACAATATAATTGGGGGCTACAGGTTCATACCTGAACGTGTACATGTTTCCCAAAGCTCCAGTGCCACTGCTCTATGACATTTACCCCCACTGTCTTTGCCTTCCTCCCCCGTGGTAACTACCATATTTTTCAGTCTATGAGAGTTATTTTGGTTGTGTTTTGCCAGATTGCTTTCTTTGGTTATCTATATTCCACAAATGCACGAAAACAGTGTAACTGTCTTTCAGTTTCTGAGATATTTAACTTAGCAAACTCACCACAAGTTCCATCTACCTTTTCCAAAGGGCACAATTTCATCTTTTAATAGCTGAGCAGCATTCCATTGGCTATATATACCACTGTTTATTCATCCGGCAATACCATGTCTTGGCAATCATAAATAATGATGCTATGAAAATAAAGTTGCATCTATTTGTTGGTATTTTCATATTCTTTAAATAAATTCCTAAAAGTGGTGTTGCTGGAATCGTCACACAGTTTTCCACATAGACTGACCAATTTACATTCCCACCAACAGTGAGTGAGTGCTCTTTTTTCTCCACACACTGGCAGATGCACTTGTTTCCCTCTTTTTTGATATAGCTCATTCTCACAGGGGTGAGGTAATATCTCATTTGAACATTTCTAGTCACTTGCCCATCTCCCAAAATACTAAAACAACTTATCTAATTTTCTAAATACTGAAAACAACTTACTAAATTTTAGGCCTAGGGCTATACGTATGAGTCTCCATATTTGATGTTGTTCTCTCCCAAACCTTCTGTTTATTCCACCTGGCGAAAACTAATCCAAGAAAATTTTTCCCTTGGACAAATATCTTTGATCATTCATTACACACTGAATTGAGCACAGTGGCCCCAGACCCAAGCCTCTCACTTCCCAGTCCCTTAAGGGATTCATCTTAGTTATTTGCCAGACCACCCTATTTAATGCTCACATTCACTCTTACTTGTGCTACTCTAAATTAATCTCTTCTTTCATGTTTAATATTATTCATGACAACATTTGTAATAGCAAAAGATTGGAAATAGCTTACACCACCAATAAGGAACTGGTTAAATAAACTATGGACCCTTCATAACTTGGAATACTCTGCCAATGTTAAAAAGAAAAAAAGTAAAGGCAAGGTCCTTATATATTAATACAGAAATAGCTTTAAAATATATACAGGGGGATGGGCCTCCCCGGTGGCGCAGCGGTTGAGTGCTGGGTTGCAAAGCTGCCTGCAGCCTCTGCAGTACCGGTTCGATCCCTGGCCGCTGGGCGAGGGTCCCACATGGCGCGCAGCCCTCTCCTGCCACCCGCTGCTCCCCTCAGCAGTGTACTTCGGTCCTTCTGCCTGCTCTGCTCCCCGCTCTGGCTCTGGTGAATCCTCTCACCCTCCCGCGCTTCTGACTGTACCCAGTGCTTGTATAAATAAATAAATAAATCTTTAAAAAAACAAACAAACAAACAAAAAAATAAAATATATACAGGGGGAAAACAGGATGCAGGATAATATCTATAGTATACCACCTTTTGTATAAAGGGGACAAGAGTAGAGAAAAATAAGAATGTAAACATATTTACTCCCATCTGTATAAATAAAATTGGGAAAAATAAAGGCTAATAAAAGTGATTATTAGTGGTGTGGAGGGATGTGGGTGATGGATAGGAATAGGAAAGCTACTTAATTTTATATCATTTTGCTTTTGAACCACAAGATAGTGTTTCAAAAAGGTGATAAAGGAATTATCCACATAGTCACTTTACTTCTCAGTAAGCTCTATTTCTGTGGAGATGACTCAGAATGCCTGCAGATTTTTCTTTCTTCAAGAACTAAGTAGATGAGGCATATTTTACAGAGTCAAATACAGCCTGACAGATTTGGGTCAGGTCATTCAGCTGGAAGTTGCTGCTTTCACAAATGTTCAACAACATACAGATAATGATCATATTTTTTTCTACCTGAAGGCATGCCTCCCCATGATTACTATTTCTCTCCTAAATTTAAAGATTTGAATGATTTTTCTCATGGATTTTTCACATTTATGTGAGACCTAAATTTTAGATTTTAGAAAGTTTTTTTTAATACTTTCAGACTTTGGGTTTGGTTTTTGTTATTTCCCTCATAAACAAAACAAAACAAAACAAAATGGTAGAAGTAGGCCAAATCATTCCAACCTTTTAATTTGAATAACTCATTCATTTAATATACTCATTTACATAATATTTACTGAGAACCTATTATATGAGGAAGACAAAACCCCTCATTCTCACTGCATATGCATCCTAGAGTATGAGAAAAATACTGAAGATCAGGATGACACAGGTGTGCATAGCAGGCTTTTCCAACATAGAGTAAGAGATTAAGGAAAGGTCTCTCTAGAAGTGGCATTTATGCTAAAGCATGTAAATATGTAAGAACTGTCCAAGAGAAAAGATGAGGAAAACATGGGAGTACAGTAGTTGGGAACATTCACACCACCCTTTGTTCTTGGTAAAAAAAAAAAAACCCTACTTTTCCAGTCACCCATCCACAGCTACAGAATAAGTAGTCACAATAGACTGTAATAAGACACTTTGGCCAGATTAATTCCATCATGCTCTCATCCGTATTTACTGCCATCCCTGTCAGAAGTCAGTTTTCATATCTAGTCCAGCCTTCCCCTCTCCCTACTCCCATCCCCATACAAATCCATTCACTAGGTCCTTTGGAAATCCAGATCTGTGGTCAGCAACTAGCCAATGTATTAGTGCAGTGCCTGAGGTGGTGCACTGGCTCCACACTGCCTAGATTCTA